CTTAAGTCCGTCTCTTCGTAGGTAGTCCAGAACATGAATCTCCAAAGGAACGGTTCCAAGCCTTCGGTCCCGCGTCCATGTATCGACGAGAATACGGCGTTTAGTTACATATTTGAGGACGACGCGCTTTGCATGGTTTCTCTTGTATCTTGCAAGCTTGACTTGACCATAGGCTCCCTGGCCCATTTCCTCCAGGATCACAAAGTCTGAGATAGCCTTCTTTCGTTTAGACATTCCGATAGATGCAGTTGAGGGTACGTGTTTGAGGGTGGTGGGGGACTGACACTCGTCGTCGGAGCTGGGTGGGGTTGGAGACTGTTGAATGGCGTCGAGCTCCCTTAAGAGATTGGCGGGAGAGCCTGGGTCCTCAGGTGAGCTGGGAACTGTAGGAGTGCTCGGCTGACCTGGGCTGGGCCTCTTTGGTGGTGTCAGCGGACGTCGAGAAGCTGCAGAGGCCGGATCTATGTCTAGGGATGCCGCGTGTAGGTGTCGGGAGTACGTGATCCAAAGTGCGTACACAAGCTGGCCCTTCTCCGTAGTACCATTTCGCTCATCTTCATCATCTACAATCATGACCTCTTCCCTATCTTTTGATTCTGACATCACAACCCTCATCTGTACATCTACCTTCAACTCTGCACCATCACGATGTCTGGCTGGAAGACCACTTGATTTTGAGAAAACTGCGATCGCGTCCTCCTTGCCATCCCTCAAAGCAATCATAGCCTTTGCCTTTCGGAAGGAATGCTCAGGGATGACCATACCATCTACAAGATTAACACCGTCCTCATCTACGAGGAATCTGAGGATTCGGTCGAACTGCGGAATCAACTCGTTGATGTCGAGCCCAACCGGTGTCAACTGCCCAAAAAGCGCAGCAGAAAACACAGCATTGGAGCTTGTGATTCTCAGAGTTGAAGCCGAGAGCACGATGATACCGGCAATGTGGGGGAACGACGAGACTCTAAGGGCTTTTCGGTCAGGCAAAGGCTCGACACCGCAGGGAATCGCCATTCCATCCATGCTTATCGCTGTAAACTGATGAATCATGGCAGTCTGATCCATGTCGACGCATCCATCAGCTCTCTTGGGAATCATCGGAATCAAGTCAGAAACGTCGACACCAGTCTCGGGAAGAGTCTCCTCTCCAAAGATGTTCTTGACGTTGCCGGTGAAGCGCATGGCCATTCCTTTTGTGCCTTCGTCCTCTGAAACGTACAAGAATGCTACATCCTCGCTGATCTCCTCCAAAACCCAGATTAATCCTCCCTTCTTCTCCTTCACCCACAAACTGGCGGCTCCGGTGTTACCGTTCCTCTTTTGGATCGGTACGACGTCTCCGCATAGAATTACTCCCCTCGACTTGTTTTGTGGATGGTGAAGGGTTGCGTTTCCACCATTGGGTAAGTCGCCATTCTTCCGTGGGGAGCTGGTATAGAATATATCAGTCTTGGATCTCCTGTTGCCACCAGCAAACGTGCCATTCTGTAGCATCGCTCCGGTGACGTTCGGTGACCCGTGATGACTGTGCGGGTAGGGGAACGACATTGAGGAATTCTCTCCAGAATTAAGTTTAGCTGCGAGCCACTCCCGGCGCTCCTCCCTTACAACTTCCAGAATCCCAATCTTTCGAACCTCAGCTTTGGTGACACCGAAAACCAGGCAAGCCAAATCGTTGGCGGCCAGAATTGTCCAGGGGTGGTGCGCTTCGGTTGTGAAAATCGCTTGTGACGCAGGAGTGTACCGGCTTGTATGACCGTGGACGGAGGATTTGCTCATCATTGGCCGCGGGCCCATCCCGTTCGCAGACTGTGGGACATCGGAGGCTAGATACGGCTGTGCGAGTGCCTCATAAAGCTTCGTCTGCACTGTCAGAGGTGTTGTATCGGTATAGGTCCTCTTCAGACTGGCTCTTCGAGTCGGGGGCGGGGAGCTGTGTGAGGTGGATGTCGACTCGTTGGTTGTCGAGCGGGATGTGCCTTCAGATCTAGTCCCCATTCCATTGATAGAGCTTGCAGATATAGTCGCGCCAATTCCCCTCTTCTCCTTCGAAGAAGCCGTAGGCCCAAAACTCTGCTCAAAGGGGTTCCCATCTACCTCAGCAGGCCCCGAGACTGGCCCTGACATCAATGGGATATTCTCTTCGGACAAAAGATGAGCTTTTTGCAGCAGATCTATTATACTCGCTACCTCCTCGTCTCCATCGATCCTGGCTTGGGCAGACGCTATCATGGGGGATTGCGTTCCCCATCCCAGTTTGTCCCTCATGAACTCTATGCTTCGCTTAAGGATGTTTTGTCTGCTATGGATGAGGTCTTCAGACTGATTTGCAAACGAGAATGAATGTAGCGACTCTGTTGGAAAGCGTGCAAGGTCCTCGCATGACCCCAACGTTGGCGATGTGGGGAATGAGATTGAATTTACTCGGGTTCCAGGCACTGACTTTGAGTGCATGGAATTGGGGATAACGAAGGTCTGCGCGCCAGGAGGGGGGGGCACTTGCTGTCGTATCCGTCGTAGGCCGGAAGTGTACAAATGGTCACCTTCACCAATGGCTACTGGACTACTAGAAGTACAAAAGAAGAAGAAAAACCGTTCAGCTTCTCACGAGCTCTAAAAAATTCCCTCCAATGGATTGAGGGTAGACAAGAAAAAAAAAGCTTATGAGAAATAACAACATACTGAGATAAGGGATCGACGATCCGTTGTGGAGCACCAGAATCTATCGAGAACCGTATCTTTGGGCGAACCGATAAAGAGCCGGCGTCGTTACCGCTGGGGGGGAAATTAAGGCTGACTGATTTTACTGGTGGAGTAGATTTGGGTCGAATGATCTCGCCCACGGAGTCTGAGCCTTCGCCTGCGTTGGGGGGGGGGAAGTCGTCAGCATGGGCCGTTGTCGATAAGCAAGTACATAGAGTTGTGATCGTGCATGTACAACATGCCGTACATAGACCACGCATTCTGCGGGGGAGAGACAGACAAGAGAGCAAAGGAAGGGAGGAGCGGGGGAGGGCAGCAGCTTTCTTCCATATTTTTTTTTCTTTACCACCCTCTGAAAAAGACGGAAAGAATACTCGCGCGTTAATTAAGTCCTGAGAAATTTTTGTGAGGTCGTTGCTACCAAGAATTCTCAGAACTTAATTAACGCGTGAGTAGTTATTAGGGGAAATGAGATATTTAGGGGAACACTGTCTCTCTATCTTGTGCTCCTCTCTTTCCCAGGACACTGGTACTGATGTGGAACAAAAAAAAGGTGCACTTTACTCCTAACCACGGAAAATAATATTGAGACTCACCATTGCGATTATTCGAGACTGTGAGTCCTTCCATTAAATACTCTCAAAGCTAGAAGACTTGAATTGTAGAATCTTGCGGTAAGAAAAACGACGCCGCAGAGAGCCAAGAGAGAGTTCCACGAATCTGTTTCTCTTTGCGATCTGTGCTGTGTCTTTCCTATCACTTTCTGTAAATAATTGTCTTTTTTGTAATCTTTTTTCTTCTGTTCGTCGCGCGGGTTGGTAAAGGGTAATGTATGATACAATAAAAAAAAACTGAAGAAAAGGTCCGCAGGATGGGTTCAGGATTATATCGCCTTGCTTAGCCGGCCGGTTTTGTCGACGGGAGTTTTAAAATGCAGGCTGTCTATGTAATTCAGAAGGGATGGTGGGTAAGATATGGAGGGCCGGGAGAGGTGGGGGGGAGGGGGGCTTATGGATTATGAGTGGGAGGTTGGGGGGTGACCGGGGGGGGCAGTGACGGTGTATGGCTGTCTGGCTGGTTGGATTATTGATTGATTGATAGACAGGCGGGAGTGTGGAGTGCAGTGAGTGAGTGCCAGTGACCGTAGCGAAAGTTTTAATCTGCACTGATTAGAGAGTGAAGTGAGTTCTATTGTATTGTTGTTTTTTTGCTAATGCTACTTCTGCGGGTAGTGGTTGATGCTGCTGCTGCTGCTGCTTTGGAAGTCTTGGTTGAACACTGGGCAGCAGTGGCAATAGATCAGACGAGTGCAACAAAGACGGCGGCTATGACGGGGATTACGCGGGGGGGGGGGGGGGGGGTATGAGAGGTGAGAGGGAGAGGGAGAGGGAGAGAGGTATAAAGGGAGGGAGGAAGGAGGATTGAGGATTGAGGATGGGTGAGAGGTGGTGAAGATGGTGAGAGAGGAACGGAAGGATGGATAGATCGTGAGCGTGATGTGTTGTAGGCAGTTGGGACTGTAGGCGCCAGATGATAGAGTCACAGAAAGCGTGAACGAGTGAGTGTGCCTGCTTGGTGGTTGTGCGGCGCGGCGTTCTATCTCTCTCTCTCTCTCTCTCTCTCTCTCTCTCTCTCTCTCTCAAGGTTCTCTATCACTCACTCACTACTCCCTCAATCACTCACGCCCTCACTCACTCCGTATCCGCGGCGGTGGTAGCAGCGGTAGTACATGTAGTGAGCGAGTGAGTGGTGGACCAGGCAGGACCTAGCGGTGGGTGGCTGGCGTCTTACCACTGTGGGCAAGTAGAATACTTACTTGCCTTAGTGCGTGCCTGCTTGGGTTGTGGGGAGAGAGACAGAACAGGCGGACAGACAAGACACAAAGAGGCTCTTTGCTTGAACGCCCCCCCCCCCCCCCCAGCCCAACCCAGGAATAGAACTGAATGTAGCCAAGCGAGGGTGACGGATTCAACGACTAAAGGCCGGCCGGGCAACGACCCGAAAGACCTGGTGAGGAGCAGCAGGAGTCTGGAGGAGAATAAGGAATGAGACCATGTAGGTACCATACATCCATAGCTACATGTACCCACTGCCGTAAACCCCGAATGATATTGGGAGTAATATTTCTCACTGAGGAAGGAGAACACTCGCAAACGAGTTAGGCCCAATGTTTGGAACGACTTGATAAAAAGGTCAAAGTGGTATTATGTAGGTAAGTGTACCTACTGTAGGTACCTGTCGGTACCTGTATCGAATCATACAGACCAACATCCAGATGCGTCGATGAACAAGACGATTCATCTCGGTATCACGAACCCCTCCCCAAAAAGGTCAATAACGTCCCTGCTTGAACACACGTTCATGACCTTGTCTTCCTGTCCTGTCCTCCTGTACCACAGTTGGTAAGCAGAGCAAGCCCCCAAGTGAGTAACAACTCACAGAAGCAACACCAAACCAAACTAGGTTCGGTTTCCTACCTGCTTCTTCGCGAATTCGTCTTCTCAGGTCCCGGGCGTCCCTTCACGGACTACATCGTATGGATGGATCATGTATGTATCATATCTAGAGCTAGAGCACATGTTACATTGTACCTACATACGGTAGTCTGCCTCACGGGTCCGTTCACCGTCTCTCCTAAAACCTTATTCAATGGGGAGCTGCTCGACAGAAGCAAATCTGTCAGCTTTCTCATCCACTCACGACTCACCTCCATCATCATCATCATCTGGCATTCTCATACCTAATCATCTGCTGGAGATCTCCTGAAAACCCCCTCTTCGCCGCTTCATAACGCCGCTTCATAAAAAACCGTCACCCCCGGCTTTCCCGGCCTAAGGCTTCATGAGGGCCCCCGCCGAGAATTCAAATCAGACTGATCAGATGTTTCGACAGGAGAAAATAAAATAAAAATGATACGTACTTCATCATCATCACTTCAATTTCCGCTCCAAGATATCTCCCCGGGAAGCCTCCCACATGGTAGTCTACATACTATACAGGGTCACCCCTCTCTCTGATCTTTCTCCCCACGCTCAGATGAACTATTATTTTGCGGGTAACTGCTTGAGCTTGATGCACGGTAACTAGCACGCACGATATCTGCCGTATAATTGCGCATTCAAACCTCGAAACTTGTTTCGTCCTGTCTTCTTCATGCGCTTACTCTAGGGTAGAGCAAGTACTCATACTGTCCGTAGCCTGGTACGCTGCTCCTACTCATACCCTGAGATAAATCTCTCCTTGTTCAGTGCTTCTCTCTAAGACTGAAGTGGAATGTGAACCACACCACTTTACGCGCAGTTACCATGCCCTGTCCACACATCACGGTTCTAGAGTTAATAGCGTATCTTCTTAACCGGAGATCTTTTCTTTTGACGTCAATTTCCCCTCCACCGCTTACGTTTTCCAGCTTCATTCAGCCTGGTCCGGATGCGAGATGGACCCTTCCTACCCATCTTCTCTCCTTGCGAACCTTGCACGAAGATCCCATCAAGCTATTCCTCTTCCTTACGTTCCACCAACTCCCGAGCGGAGGTTGAAAGGGAATAATAAAAAATAAAAAAAACCTCTAGGTTCAGGTTCACCAGCCCAAGACTAAATTTTTGAACCTCCTCCCCTCAAAAGCAATTCTTATCGAGAATTACCACCAAAGAAAAAACGAGTTGTCATAAAATATATCCGCCCCTAGCCCCGCTTCCCCGCGTTCTGTGCGCGCGAATCATGTGCAAGTATTGATAATAGGGAGGTACATACATGTAGTAGAGTAACCTCTACTCAGACATACATGTGGCTACAACTGAGTGCTCATATCTACCGTCCCTATACCATAAATACTTCCGAGTTCGCCCTAATAATTAGATACGATCCTAAGGCTTCAATTATACTAACTTACAATAAGATTTCTGAGGTTATTACACTTTACTTGAATGATTCCCCATGCCTTCTGATAGAATCCAGCCTGGCCTTGCTGCAGTAGCATTTAGAAGTGGTGTGTCTTAGACGCAGATGGCGCTCAAAACCCCTAACTGCTCTAGGTACTCCATGTACCAACAAAGGGTGCATGCAAGACGTTGTAAGGAAGACCGCTTACCGGTACTCTACAGGTCTCGGCATAAGATCGATCCTATTAACAATATCGTTTTTCCCTTTCGATCAAGAACGATATATTCCTGAATATCGTCGTTCGTCATGGAGGTGTATGTAGCCACGTTATCCAGAGACAGAAGGAAAGGATGTTTCATGGGGGGAGCGTGACAGTTGTTTTCTCTAGTTGTCAATCGGTTTTGTTGTTATGATAGGTTAGAGTCATTGTAGGTACAATACCGGAACAACCAACACCCGTCTCATCTGAATAGTGAACCATCTACCTTCAGCTTACACTAGGCTCTCGTGACATGTTTTTTTTTCTCGTTTCAGACCCTTATTCAATCCATCAAGACATAGCAACCATGCTCATTAGCATTGATGTGGTAGCACCTGACCTGCGTTCTGCCCGCCGCCCTGGCCGCTGGATTTGGTACAGCGGACCCGAGTTCAACGTTCGTCTCCAGTCTACCGGCCTGCCATCCTCTATTCCTTCGTTTGGTGGTGATGAGGAGATAATAATCAAAAAATTTCTTTGTGCATATTTGTGTATTCCCCCACATTTCCCTCTACGTAATGTATGTAGCATCATGTTACATGTTGTCTTGTCGAAACGACGGGAAGAAAGCTGGTTCGCTCCTTCGTTGTTGTTGAGCCTCGACCAATTTCAAAGAATAGAGAGAAATTTTCTCTAACACTACAAACAAAACTAGCTCACCTTAGGAGTTCCGTTAGTTGATTCCTCAAGCTTGAAGTTGACTTTGACTTGGTTGGCCCTATGACTTTTTCTTCGGTTACTACATGTATTTTCTAAGCGCGAGAGAAAATAAGCGAGTGACTGCGCATGCGCCAGGATGTAGGCAAAAAATATAGGCATCAAAGTTCCAAAAGTGCTTTTAAGACCATACCAGTGCTTATTTAATCAAGATCATTTGATTTTCCAAGTCGGTCTTCAAAGTTAAGTTCGTTCCTCTTTGTTCCCTAAATAATTGTTTTCGACGAATTGAGTGATGTGAAACCTATGTATTTGATCCGGTCTAAACTCCGGAACACAGGAACCTGCAAACCAGCGTGCCCATTAACTCTAATCTTCTAAATATCCTAACTTGGGGGCATCCTTCCCCGTTGCCCCGACAGAGTTTTCATTCCTCCTAGCTTCCTTGTCTTGTCTTGTCTTCTTTTTCTCAACGCTTCGTTCTCTGAACTCTCTAATGCACGCATGGCGCAATTGGCTCGTCTCGTTCATGGAGTACCTCAACATATGTAGCAAAAAAAAAGTGAAGACCGTAACTGCAGCCCGCCTAAGATACAGCCAATCTAGCTAGACCGTTATCAATATGATGTCCACATGATCTGCTGACTCTTCGGAGGAGAGGACAACAACAAGAGCTGCTTCAACGTGTTGTCGTGGTCAAGGGGAACGTGCTCTGGGATAAGGAACAACTCCCCTTGCCTCAAGACATGGTGCACCTACAAAGGCCAAATGCAGGAATTTGGAAGGCCCTGTGCGAAAAAACAGGCCTGTATTAGTAAGCGTTTCTCCAGCTTCGGCCAGGCGGGAAAGGCGGGCATTCAGCGGGCATGTTTAAAACACTGTTGTATCGTATCGTTGCACGGACCAGGCATGTAGGCACCCATTCGCAAACTAAACCATTCCCATTGCTGAATAGTTGATGTCATCTGGTCTCGCCTCTACCACGAAAAAGAAACAAATCCCAGGGCACCCACGCGTTAACTGCGGTAGGGTTGGGTGGCTAGGGTGGGTGTGCTGACTCCGGGACTCAGGGTTGACCCTTTTTTTTTTTTTTTGCCTTTTCACACTTGTGGTGGCACCCAATTTCGGAAAATTAAGGTTTACTGAGTTCATAGAATTAATTCTGCTTGTCGCCAGTATGTAGATATACCTGAGGATCCAGTGACACAGGTTTGTTCAATGTGTATGAGTTCAAACTTCGAAGCTTACATGTAGCATAGACATGTAATTGAGCTGATTGGAGAAATTTATGGGCTTCAGCATTTCTTAAATAACCACCAGAAGATCCCTTGTCTGGGGCTGTGTATCTTTTATAGATTATCATAATGCAAAGGCCAGTGACCCAAGGGCAAAAGTGATATTTGAGCTACGGAGTCCCTATTCATGACGTTATTGAGGCCTTTATAGCTAAAATAAATTCTTGAAGTTGTTTACTTACGGCTTAGGGAGGGAAATGATCATAATGGTAAGTTTTGTCACCCTAGGCCCAATGCCTTGGTGACACGGCCGAAATTGGACCGAGGTGGAACGATCGAATCCGGATGTTCCGTGATTATGACGCCCCGGTTATTTTGACCGGGATTCTTACATGTAGGTAGACCGTAGTCTTCTGTGCTACATTAGGTCTTTCTATATTCAGCCTGGGATATACGCTTCGTATTTTCCGAAGACCGGCGGCTTTGGTTTGTTTCCAGAAGAGCGGCGTTAGGTATCTCGGCAATCGTTGGCGGCGGCGGGACGGGGAGACTACCAAGCAATCAAATAATACTCCTGTATCATAACATATTTTCTCCCATCCTTCCCAAGTACGTGTCTATCATATTTGTCTCCTGAAACCTCATAAGGAGGTGATATTATCTCTGTGGATAAACAAAGGTGACTCTGTGTTGTCACTCACATATCATGACCAGTATTGGCAGCTTAGATTCCACCGGAGTTACTGGGTCTTACGCAGGATTGGATTATTAGCTAGTGGATTAGCTGTAACAGCACGAAGAATACTCGAAGGCTTTATAACAGGCCCAGAAAAGACACCTTAACGAAAAGTAGAGGCTTTGGTGCGTAGTAATGAACACATCCCATTTAGTGGCTCTAGTAAGAATGATGGAGTAGAGGGACTGTAAAAAGAAAAGAATAAAACTAGGACTGAGGATGTTGATGACGTTGCTAGAACTCCTCAGAAGCACGCGCAGTTCTCAGTTTTTGACTAGCTAGCTCAACCAATACTCCGTTGACACTCCCACAGCGGTAGCATTTCACAAAAGATCTATCAAATAACACCCTCATCCTGAAATCTCACTGCATGCCAATCTACCTTGAATACAAATCAGCATAGCGCATTATCTAAATTCATTTCTGTTTCAAATCAGTATGAATATCAACGCCCTAAATATCAGCAATCGAGAAAATGGCTTTCCGGCACCTTCATAATACTTAATTATATTGGATCGTGCTTTCTTGAGTCCGAGCGTCCCCAGTCGGGTATGTTGGTCTTAATGTCCTGGTCTGGTACCTGTTGGGTGGGCCCTTACATCTAGACTCCAGATTATGGCTAGGGATCCATGCATCGTGGCTTGTAAAAATAATCAATTGATTGCAGCATAGATTATTACTGGCTACCCCCCGCAGAGACGACAGAGGAAAACATCCAGGATGATGATCTACAGCTAAGCGGGTCTATTTGCGTTCTGTGAGACGCTTTTATCGGTTCTGCAAGAACACGTTTCCCATGTGCAGCTGAAGATCGACTCCCTGGCTGCAAAACCAAGAGGATCAAATTTAGGAGTCAGTCTATTTCTTTCATACAGGTGATGATTCTCTTTGGGAATATAAACTGATATTTGATGTCCGGGGAGGGGTTGGTCTCATATGTTGATGCTTTTATATAGGTAGCCGTCCGTCTGAGGTACTAGGTACTGATCCTCACGATTCAGCTTCCTACGTGCTGTGGTTGAACGTACCTACATAGGTACATACTCTAGAAACCATGGGCCTAGAACTATAGAGAATAATCCACTTCGAGCCAGTAGGACGTAATGAATAGGTATAAAATGAATTTATGCTATGCATCAGCACATCAACAACTCGGCTTCATTTGTGTTTGTCTGTCGTTCTCCCGGCTTCATGCCGGAGAGGCACAAGTATGAGGAAACATTCAAACTTAGGGTAAGCCCTCTTGTTGCTCAAATGGATGAGAACAAGGTAAACGTGGCCATAGTATCCTATCACAAAACAAAGTGACTTCTAGACTTTGTACCCATTGCAAAGCTACAGAACGGCGTGTAGCAATGCCCGCTCACCACGCGTCGACGAATGCCTACAGCATTTGATAACGGTGTTATCATATTGCACCCGCTTTCAGGCCATGGATGCATGCTCTCCGATCTGACCATGGGACTCGATCTTCTAGCGACTCCACACCTTTTCGATTATCAGGCAGGCCGAGTGATAAGGAGGGCCCTGGAGCCTCCATCCATCCCGGGTCCCTTCGGGGGTAAACAAATGAAGTCGGACTTTTGCGGAAAGTCAGGCTGTCTGAAACCCTTCGAATGGTAGCCCTAAAGCATGGGTTGTCTGTCGCGAAGTGATTAGCCCTGCAGTTCCAGCACGTCTTTATGGCCATCGTGATACAGTATTAGGATCGATTATTGTCTGCTTCCAAGCTGCTAGGGTCATAATTTGGGCTCGATCTATTCACTTCTGGCCCAGTCTTAGACAGATATCACATTCATTTAAGCAGTCGTCTCGCACAGTTCTCCACAGTTTGTTTGTGTAGCTAGCTGCAGCCTGTAATGACAACGGTGTATCCGGCTAAAAAGTAACCCCCTTCGCCCTTCACCCTACGGAAAAACCATTGAGGTGACGTTTAGGAAAAAACAAACGGAGAGGCTTTGGGCACACAGTAGACTAAGCGAATTTGCGGGTAGGTAGTCGTGACGAACGGTGCTCTTTTCTTTCTTTTGACAGTTTTAACGGTGGTATTGAAATGCTTGGTTGGCCGTATATTCTAGGGTTGCTTTTTCGAGTCCCGATCTCGATCCGTACCAGTGACAGGACCGGCGATTCTTCAGCTAGGGACTTCACAACAGCTACTGACACCATGTTACCCTACCTGGCGCTGCACGTGCTTATCGATCTTACTCTACTTCTTGCATGCTGCTTGTTACATCTGGGTAGAGAATAAATGCTCTATGAAGTTGGAAACATACTTTAACTCGGTTTCGGCAAGTCGGGCACTCATCATAAAATGTGCTTGAAGACCGAGTGATGGTCTATGACTCCAATTGGTATAGCCATACCAGAGCACAAGTAATCAAGCTCGGCGAGATGGGAATCTCATTTCAGCTTATGATCCATGTTCAAAAGGAAATTAAACTATAAGATGGGGAGGTCATGCATCTCTATCTTGCATATAAGGAAGTCTCACCGGGACTATCATTGTAATGTCCCCTGCGTCAGCCTGTACGTATGTGGGCTCCAAGGGTATCTATGGTAGTCTCCCTTTTCTCTCAAGCCACATCACTAGCGCCTATACATTGGGCCAATTATTATATTACTTTTTGTCTTATCCTATGGGCTTTCCTGGGTCTGGGGATCCCGAAGGTTGGGATGTTAATTGCTAGTGCCCGGTTGATCCGAGCCTCTGAGAACCACTAGACCGTTATAAAAATGTGTGGTCTAAGGGGAACATTATTTGAAGATCCGCTATTATAACTATAAGTTTTGAACTATACGAAAATCCATGCATGGAATGACTTATAATTTCCATTTCTGTCTCGTAATAATTTGTTTATCCTATAAGGCATTTACGTGAGTATATGTACTCTTGTTACGCAAAGTCACTAATGTGACTCCACCTTCCTCACTATTAAAAAAGGAATACTTTACGTTGATGCGTCTCCAGATGGTTAGTAACCAACCGGCCGGCACCCCAAGGTTTACTCAGAGCCTTAATCACGAGACATCACTCGCATGGCTCCGACCTGTCAGAGGTGAGTTCCCCGAAGATCATTTTCGGAGCCCAATTAGGTAAATGTTTATTAAAACAGGTCAAATTATTCATATATCTTGTCCTACGGCGCAAAAGCTTAACATTGAAAGTTTATGTAATGCGAGTGATAGCACATGATCACTAATAGTTGTGCAATTAACCTTATGCAGCGCAAGGTTGCAGACGTATCTTAGGGATCATGAGCTCAGGAGAGATTAAATTCTATACCTACTAGGCCGTTGGTTCTCTGATATATGCTTGATAGTTTTTTTTTCTTTCTTCTTTCAAGGCCGGTAAGTTTTGAGTTTACGTAACGTTTTCCAAGCTTTGTTATTATATCAAAAGTCATATAAGTAGCTAACCCACCGGAACACACGAATCACTGGAAAGACTGGTTCGACATGAGTACGGCCATGTCAGAGAATAAGCGTAAATATCGTGGACACGGGTTACGATATGTGGGCTAGAAGCACAGGGTACAGAATGTATGTGCCCATGTCCATTTGTTGTGAGTCTTCTAAAGTTTAATATATATAATGCCACACGTGCACGTGGTGTACAACGGATGCAGACTCTTACCGTATACCCTTGCAGCTTTTGCACTGCACAGCTGTGTCAGACAGTGAATAAGAATTTCCCGTGGATCTGTCTTTTAACGGACATGGAATAGAGATGACGGCTGTGAACCGGTATCCGCCCGTTACTCAGGCCAGATCTGCAACTCTACTACCTACGAGGCTAATATTTCTACTCGAATATAGCCCCCCACACCATCTTCAATGCATGTATCGACATTGCGTGCTGGCGATCCACGTTCCCGGACGTAGGCAGCCGTTGGGAGTAACAAGAGTGACATAAGCTTGCTCGCTAACTTCTACAGCGCTGCAATGCGGCTGGTACCTTGACATATCCTTCAGTACATGTACTCGTATTTTCCTGACGTTTGTGGACGCGACGAATATTGCATACCATACAAAAATACGCCAAGCTCATGATTTTTGGTGTATGCAATAGTGGCCCAGTTTAAAAACGTCAGGAAGATACGAGTATATGTGTCCTTGAACAGGATTTACAGTGCATGTCGAACACAGCAGACGGGCAGAGTAATTAAGTACACTACCTTGAAGATACATCCATACTATTCTATTGCAAGGTATAGGACAAGAAACGGCCGATTTATCGAGCACTATGCGCTATTAATTTATCTAGGTAACGGTACACCTCGTCGAGTGGCGAATGAGTTACAAGAAGGTCTTCCAAAAGAAGCTTTCTACAGTAACTGGTGCCTATCCCAATATTGACAAACCTGTTTTACTAACGACGTCCAATGACCAGTCCGACATTTCCCGAATGAGATGCAGCTGGCGAATCATTGGCCCCATCGGCGCCAGCCGCTAACCAGAGTGGGAGAGTTGCCAAGAGATGTGTTCGTTCCTCGTCCAGCTACAGCAGCCCCAAAACCACGGTTTGCATCCACCACCCCACCGTCATAATTGATTTGTATCTATGTGGGGTAACTGCAGTAAAACAATAAAATTTGTTTCGACGACGCATTATCCCTTCACCTCGTGCTCTCGACTACATATATTTCTAACCCCAGAAATACAATGCTCACCAACAAGGTCGTTGAGCTTGAGAACAGCGGCAGCGAGACTGAGGACGTCGATATCTTCGAGCAGTCCATCTTCACCATCTTCGCCGAAGCGCGCAACCAGCACGGCGAGCCTGGCCACTATGTCCTCTACAAGTCCGATGTATACGGCGACATAAAGCTGCGCCTATCAGACCCGGACAAGGAGAACAACAGCCTCTTTTCGCACTTTCTTTGGAATGCACGTAATATAGCTCCGTCCGCCGGTTATAAAGTGTTTTTTTATGACGCAGCGGCTTTTGAGGATTTTTGCGTGGGGGAAGGGGGCTAATGAGGGATCAACGCGCGGCAGGTTTGTCTGGGAATATAGGCGGGTGTTCAAGCTGCTGAGATGATCACGGAGGGCGAGTTTGATGTCAAGGACCAAACGGTAGTTGAGATGGGGGCGGGCGCGGGGCTGCCAAGTATCATATCGGTGCTTGCAGGAGCTAAACAGGTATATTGAACTTTTTCCGGGATTCGTTATTGGTTTATTGGTTATTGGCTTTATTGAGAGAAGGGAATATTTTGAACTAATGAACCTGTCAAACATGCAGACGGTAATATCGGACTATCCCGCAGACGAGATCATTAGTAACATCAGCCAAAACATCGACACCAACATCACCTCCCCACCCGACCGCCAGCGGGTGTCCGTCGCCGGCCACATGTGGGGCGAGCTCAGCGACGATCTGTGCACGGCGAACCCGGGCGGGTTCACACGGGTCATTGCGGCCGACTGCTTCTGGATGGACTGGCAGCACGATAATCTGAGCAAGTCGATCGCACATCTGCTGGCCAAAGACGGAGGGCTCTGTCTCGCAATTGCCGGGTACCATACCGGGAGGGCAAAGGTTGCAAACTTCTTTGACTCTGCGGAGAGGGCCGGGCTGGAGCTAGTGGGACCCATCAGGGAGAGGAATACGGAGGGGGTGGAGAGGGAGTGGGTTAGGGATAGAGGGTTTGAGGACCCAGTGGAGAGGAAGCAGTGGTTGGCGATTGGGGTGTTCAGACATAAGTTGTGAATGTGTGGACTTGGGGAGTTTTGTAGATTTTGTTTTACTTTTGCGCGGTGCATGCTAGCTAGAGATAGATACCATAATCGTTTCTGAAGATGCTCTGGAATTATAGACTTTTATTTTTATTCTATTTACAATGCTATACTCTACTTCCTGCGGAAACAGATTGAAGATATAGCCTGCCCCGTCTTTCCCCCAAACGAGAAAGAAGGATAGGATATCTTCCCGTAGTACTCGAGATCTGTCACACAGCTATTAGCACTTCCTCCAAACATCACTCACAAACACAACCAGAAACCCACCTTGATTCACCAACAACTTCTTCTTCAGCTCCTCCTCCGTCCAATTACAGCTGGTGACCACCAACAGCCCGCCCCTCGCCATCACGCCCACCACCCCCTGCGTATACCCCTCATATAGCCTCCTCCCACTGCCATCCTCAAGCACCTCCCCACTCAACGAAATCGCATCAAACGTCCCCTTATCTAGCACGACCCCGAACCCCCCCTCCGGCACCCACTCCGCCGCACTCAACTCATCCTTCACACAATCCGCCACCACAAACCTCACCCTCTTCTCCACTCCCCTCTCCTTCGCAATCTTCTCCGCGAGCTCAACAGCCTTGGGCGAGTAATCGATCCCCACCATGGCACCCCCATCATCATCATACTCGCCGCACTCGACGAGCTCAAACAGCAGATGCCCATTACCCGTGCCGACGTCGAGGAAGGATGTTGAGGCGGGCAGGTCCTGCGAGGAGAGGTAGCGGAGGATGCGCGACTCGGCGTCCGACTCGTCGAACCAGATCTGGCCCTCGTTGGTGGGGTCGGCGGAGAAGTTGTGGGATTCGGTCTCGTAGGCTTGGTCCCAGCTGTGGTTCTTGCGGGTGTTAGTCTGTATGTAGATTGTGTTTGAGATCACTACTGGTATAGCTAATGATGCAATGGTAGCTGCAGCTGGAGAGGCAGGGAGGCAGGGAGGGAGGGAGGGAGGGAGGGAGGGAGGGAGGGAAGGAAGGAGAGGAGGGACCCACTATTCCTTGGTGCCCAGCTTGCTGGGGTTTAAGTGCTCGCTGGTGGGCTCTGGAGGTGAAGTCATTATTGCAGCGGTGTTATGAGTATATGGATGAGTGATATTGTACCCGATTGCTTTTTTGATATTGGGGACGCGCTATGGGACACCGGCGGGGTAGTGCACATGCGTGGTGGGGTAGGAGTGCGGCTCCGCACCCTGCCAAGCGTGCAGAAGTCTTGTCTCAACCTCAGCGTTCTGTGATGCTGGTTGAGGTTCAGAATTCTAGCCTGTTGTCTCTCGAAGGGTCAGGTTGGCACTAGAAATGAAAATAGTGCGAGTGTGAACATGTGAAGAAGGTCGTTTCCTCCGAGTGATAGGGCATGAATTAATACCTCTAAACCCACACGATAAGAACGGAGTGGTTACAGAGGAAAAAAAAATTTGTTTATATTTATCTTTACCACTCACAATTATTTTCTGCAACTAGCATATCTAGAGTTAGTACCTGTAGCAAAACAGATTTACAAAACTCATTCAGCCACGACTAAGAAATCCGGTATTTCCACCCCACTTCTTCTTCTTCTCCTCCTAATTGTTTCGGAGCAAATCAATAGATGCCTTTCTTCAAGCACTTAAGCTCGGGTCCCGCAATAATTTTTCAAACACACAAAGGATACCCAACGATCTATCAAAAACAAAAAGACCTCGAATTTATTTGCCCAGTTCCACTCCCTGAGATCGTCTACGGAGAAGTTTGCATCAATTCCCCGAGATTGGCCAATGCCTGGTTCGCAAAAAATCGAACATCTACGTCTTCATCTCCTTGCAGTTTCTCCAGACTTGGAGTGATCTGCTTCTGTATCAACTCCAAACCTGCAGGGCATGGGCCATTGTTTGCATCCTCCGGCCGCAGGCTCGCCAAGGTTCCTTCGGCGGGGAGCTGTCGGAGAACATTGATAAGAACTCCATAAGACTTCGCAACGTTGAAACGAATGTTGGGGATTGGGTCATCGATCAGCTGGTTGATCATGGGTAGGATATATTCTTGGATGACCGCGATATTGACAGCGGGGGCGAGTGTCTGGGATTTCCGTTAGTTTCAAAGGATTTGCTAGAGAAAAACGGGGAATGCACTTACCGTGATCGCAGCACAGGTTGTCATACGGTACAAATAATTAGTTTGGTTGCCCATAGCCATAACTTTAGGGATGATAGTCTGTCTAGCCCATTCAACGCCAAACACCTCTGTCAACTTTTTCAGGTTTTGAGTTGCAGCTTCACGGATTGAAAAGACAGTGTCTCCCAACCAGCTCATGCACAAGTTTCCGAGCTTCTCATCGAAAAATTCTACGCCTAGCTGTTTGGCGAGGAGGGGAATGTATTCAATGATCGCCAATCTTACTCGCCACTGTTTATCTTCGGCCAATTGGACGATAGCTGGAAGGAGGGATTGAGAAAGAAGCTCAATACCGATAACTATTAAAAGATATCAGTATCCAGATAAATAGAAGAATAGAGCCATTATTACCATCATTTACAAGCTCCAGTTTTGAGATGATGTGTAGACGCACATCGGGAAATTCGTCCTTGAGCATCTGTAGGAACATTGGCAGGAGGTGCGCAATTGTTCTAAAGTGCGAAAAGATACTTAGTATAGCACTCTCCAAGCTTCAAAGACAAAGATTCACTCACTCGTCCTTTCCAAGAATGGGGGCAAGTCCACTGATTTGCGTGCCCAGAGAGGCCCTGACATGCTGGGAGCCATCGCTGACCAAGTCCTCAACAGCTCCCATGATCTCATCCAAAAGAGTCTGGCGGTCAAGCAACCCACAGAATCCTACATTTCACTTAACTTATCTGTCCCTTTGACTGAATAATGGAGTAAAATGATTACCTGGGATTTGTCCGGCAACAGCAGTTCGGACCTCCGCCTCGGAGTCCTTCAAAAGTTTGACAAAAGCAGGAACAAGATCGCGCCTAACAATGTCATCTCCGACAGCTTTCGCAAGCTAAGCAAAAATCCGATATGTCAGTTGAATCTGACATTCTCCTTGTAGCATAACCAATAATTACCTTCTCGAATCTGTCCGCAACCATGTATCTGACTCTCCAACTCTTGTCTCCAAACAAGCTTCTGAGAATAGCCAAGAGGACTGAATGACTTTGTTGTTGGTCCTTGGGCACAACCTCCGCAATGCTAATCAAAACCTCCACCGTCAACAACCTTACGCTGTCCTGATCATCCTGGGCCAAATGTTGGAACAGAGGAATCATCTCGCTAGCTACCAACTCAGCGGGCATAGCCTTGACGAATTTTGCCAGGTTTGTAGCTGCCTGTCTTCGTACCATGGGGGTATCATCGTGTACGAGCTGGGAGAATTGCGATCTAAGTGAATCCTGGGAGCGAGGGGATGATTTTGAGTATGGGACCGTGTAGAGACCCGTCGCCGAGATCTTTGAAGTAAACCAATCGGCTTTTGAAAGACGAATGACAAGAGGAATAAAATATTCTTCGATTTGAGCTTGAGACAGGTCATCGCATATTTTGTTGAGTGATTCGACTGCCTATGATACTTGTCAGGGCTAGAATACGAGGCGCAACTCGGTTGATACGCCAAGGAAATTAAAGTTGAAGCTTCATAAACCTACCTTCTCACGCACAAGTGGCTCTTCAATAGCAGCAAGATTCTCCAGAGGTGAGAGAAGCACGTGACCATGTTCAGGACCTCCAACATATTCCACAAAATTTCCAAGCTCCTCGCTGAGAGCAGTCAATACCTCATCTTCGTCTTCTACAGATTCTGTTGCCCATGAAAATACGCCAGTCAGCACTACTCGAATGGATGAAAATGCATGATGCTTGGTTTATTTGTTTTCTCTTTTCCTCTCTCTCTCCTCTCCCTGTCTCTTTTTTTCTCTTTGCTTTTTCATCATTATTTTTTGACATTCACTATTATGCGTACCGTCTAAAAATGGAATGAGTTCATCCCGGGTTCGTTCTGCGCCCAGCGCGAGAGCGATGGTCGATAGACGCTTGATAGCGTTCAAGCGGAGAAGAACATCGTCATGCTGCAGCCTCCATTAGTAACTTGTGCTCCATAATCAACAATGTTCGCCGAGTATCGCCAGGTTAGTTCCAACCTTTAGTTCATCTATCAGGACAGCTATTGGGTAAAGCTCATCGGAAGCGGGCTGAAGATCCATTGTGCAAAGAGGAGCAAGGGATCAGCTTGTTAGGGTCGTGCGTAGTTATTGATCTCGATAGGAGATCGATGGAGGTGTCTTAGGTGAAGGATACTATTGTTGTTAGAGGTAGCTCGAGGGAAATCGAGAGGTTTACTGGGCACTATGAAATGTAAGAGGGATGGAATTAGTTGAAGAGCCTCAAGGGTGGTGGGGGGGATCTCGCTGAGTAGGTAGATCGTTGAAGGGTATCGTGCAGGGAGGGGCAATCATATCGGATAAGGGGGGGGATGGGGGTGGTGGTATGGCAAGTCAAGAATTACTAACAAGAGTTGGTTGGGGGTATTGATGAAATAAACTGTGTACTATGGTATCTTATGCTTGCTTGCTGGGCTGCGACCGATAGCGTCCAACAGGTCGAAGCAGCAGCGGGCGAGCAAAGAGGGTAGAGGGCAGAGGGGAGGGGGGTGTCAGAGGAGAGGGAGGAAATGTCAAGAAGAGAGGAAGCAGCAGCAACAAGTGGAGAAGAAGCGGGAATGAGGGGAGGGACACACACGGTAATTGAGCAAAAGGGCGTGGGCGTGGATGGATGGATGGAGTGTTGATGTGGATGTGGGGGAAGGAGAACAGGCTTGAGCTGATATGGCTTGGGATGAGGGGCTTGTGTTGTTGCTGGAATAAGAGCAACGAGTGGGATGTGTTGGTTGTGTGAGGTGAGAGATGCTGTTTTTCTTTCTCTGTCGCACCCTGCTGGCTCTGCTAGTAAAGTCGAGTGAGAAGCAGCACACAGATAGCACAAAATAACTACAAAGCACCTTACTATCAAGCAAGTAGGAAGCTGGTCCCGTGTAGAGGTGATGTATTACGCCACATTTTGTAGATAGTTGGTATCTCGCACCGCCACACTATGAGGCTTATCTGAAACCCCCGCACAACCCACCAGCCTTTGACCCCTCCAAACCCCTCCATCGAGTCATATCTGCCAAATCACAGCTGCCGACTGCAGAGCTCACAGACCTCATCGCAGCTCAATTAACAACCTCTGTTTATCTGTTTGATAGAGAGCCAGCAGGCCACCTTAAGCCATGCCTACCGTTGCAGTAAATAAGTATGATCTCTTCGAGGCTCTTGGCCAGCAGTACACCACCGAAGAATTCGATGAGCTCTGCTTCGAGTTTGGTATGCGGCTCTGTCTCTATTTTTATATATGCATAGTTAATCGTATCACTAACCATGGTTTTCGAAATCCATAGGTATCGAGTTGGACGAAGATGTATGGTCTCATGAAAAATACTTCATGGTTTTGGAAATGATTGTTCTGACAGTGTTCTAATTTATCAATAGACTGAGGGCGATGCCGACAGACCAAAAGACCAGCCGCCTCAACTCAAAATTGAAATTCCCGCCAACAGGTAAAATTATCCTCGCCGTTAAAGATTGCAGGAGTTGACACACAGTAGATATGACATGCTCTGCCACGAGGGTATTTCCCTAATGTTGAACATCTTCCGTGGAAAGACCCCAATGCCAAATTACCGTGTCGTTCCTCCCGCTGAGGGCCAAGTTCACGAGATCCATGTCCATGAATCGGTACCAGACAGACTTTGATTTCCAGCACATGATATTTCTACTGACACCGAGCACCAGACTACTCAAATCCGGCCGTATGTCTCCGCTGCTGTGCTGCGTGGGATCAAGTTCACCCAGGACCGATATGACTCATTCATTGCGCTCCAAGATAAACTTCACCAGAACCTGTGTCGCCAGCGTACATTGGTGTCTATGGGGACCCATGATCTCGACACAGTAAAGGGACCCTTCACCTACGAGGCCCTCTCACCGGAGGAGATTGTCTTTACGCCATTGAACCAGGAGAAGGTTATGAACGGGAAGGAATTGATGGAGTTCTACGAGGTTCGCGCTCGGGCGAGATCCTGCTGGAGGATATTCCACATTTGCTGAAGCTCTGGTTTTAGAACGACAGGAACCTCGGGAAATACCTCCACATCATCAGGGACTCGCCCGTGTACCCTGTTATCCTCGACGCTGAGCGCAACGTCTGCTCACTCCCCCCAATCATCAACAGCAACCGCTCAAAGATCACTCTCGACACCCGAAATGTCTTTATTGAGGTCACAGCGACTGACCGCACCAAGGTCGAGATCGTTACCAACATCCTCGTCGCAATGTTCTCCCAATACTGCGACGAAGCTTTCACGTATTTCTCCCTCCTCCTCCTCCTCCTCCGCAGATCCCGCAAGCGCTACTAACACCCCAATAGCGTGGAACCCGTCAAGATTGTCTCTACCCACAACTCCGAGTCCCGTGAAGTACCCAATCTCACCCCCCGCTCCACAACCGCCGAAATCAGCTACATCAACTCGTGCTGCGGTCTCTCCCTCACCGCCGAGGAGATCTGCAAGCTCCTCGAGAAGATGTCCTTCATTGCCAAACCCTCCACCACAGACGCCGACATAATCGATATCGAGGTCCCCGTTACCCGCGCCGACGTACTCCACCAATGCGACATCATGGAAGACGTCGCGATTGCCTACGGCTACAACAACCTTCCCAAGACCTTCCCCGGCAAATCGGGTACCATCGCCGCTCCTCTTCCCCTCAACAAGCTCGGCGACATTGTACGTCTCGAGGCTGCAATGTGTGGATGGAGTGAGGTGATGCCGCTCATCCTGTGCTCGCACGACGAGAACTTTGCGTGGCTCAACCGCACCGACGACGGCAAGACGGCCGTGAGGCTCGCCAACCCAAAGACCGCAGAGTACCAGGTTGTGCGTACCTCGCTGCTGCCCGGTATCTTGAAGACAATTAGGGAGAACAGGAAGCACTCGCTCCCAATCAAGGTTTTTGAGAGCAGCGATGTTGCGTTCAAAGATGAGAGTCTGGAGAGGAAGAGTCGCAACGAGAGACATTTTGCGGCGGCGATCTGCGGGAAGACAAGTGGATTTGAGGTAGTCCATGGTCTGCTGGATAGAGTTATGGCCATGTTGTCTACGGGTGTGAAGGAGAGCGGTGCGGAGGAGGCGAAGGAGGGATACTGGATTGAGGCCTGCGACGGTGAGCCGTATAGAACTTTCTGTGTCTTAGAAACAGCACTGACATAAAGAACAGACCCAACATACTTCCCTGGCCGCGCAGCCAGTATCTGGATCAGCTACCAGGACGGCAGAAAGGCGTCAATTGGAACCTTTGGAATGTGAGTGATAATTCATGACGCAGCTCTCCCCCCGCCAAGACTAACAAAACGACAGTCTTCACCCCTCCGTTCTGGAGAAGTTTGAAATCCCATACCCGGTTTCGGCGATGGAGATAAATCTCGAGGCATTCTTGTAGACGGGTCTGTGATCTGTTGGTGAGGGCCAGGCATTTGAGATTTCTGGGCTGGAATACCATATTGCATTGGGTTCTTTCGTGCTAGTTAGCTTGGGCTTGAGGTTTGGTTTTAGAATAAATAAATAAAAAAGCTTTCTATCTTTCAGTGCGAGGGCTTGATCCCTCAGATACAGTCATTTTTGGGGTAAAGAGCGGTTGCATCTCGAGATATCACTCGCAAAAAGGGGATAATCATCATCACATTTTAGCAACTAGCATCCTACAAACAATTCTTGGATTATCAACCAACAGCTAGCAACCACTACAGATACCGAACTATAGCTACCGCGTAAGACGTAACACGAAAGCCATCAGTTAAGGTTTGTACTTGCTGGATCTAAATAATATCTAATTTGCTTATCCCATCCACAATCCTCAACCAGATGAAAATATGTCTTTTTTCTTAAAATAAACTCGTAGACGTCTGGTGCGAAACTGTACATAGGCTATAGTCATCGATCAGCTGTAAAGACATTCAATATTCTCTCTTTCATTATTTTTACACCCACAGTCTTATCAATTCCTGAAATTCTACTCGCCATGCTGATCTATCATGTCTCTGCAAGATCTCCAGCTATATGCTGTTTGTGAGATTTCTGGCCAGTTTGTCAAGTCTGGTTTCTGGTGCAATATATTCTATGGACTTGAAAAACCTCGGACGAAAGCTACACGTAAACGCAACCATCTGGTAACGTCTACATATGTCAACCTTATATGATGTTTGGCTTCATCAAGCGTCGGGATCATGGCCTCAAATAAACCTATAAACCCACTTGACGTCGCGGACCCCACTGCATGACAAAGGACAACATTTATGCTCCTTTCGAGTCCTCGACATCGCCCAAGACCAAACAGGGACAAAAAGGCCACAAGGTGCCTCTCCCCGTGAGAGAGAGGTAAAAAGATGACCAATGCAACTTCCCCGTAAGGCGAAGGGCAGAGATCAGGCCCCCTCTCGCAAAGCAAAGAGGAGAAACCAAAACCGATGTCACCTCCCAAAGAAAGTGACAAAGATAAAACCCTTCTCCCAAAAGTAGGGGGAGAGAGACAAAAAGAGGGGCAAGCAACCCAAAAAAGACCAGCAGCCCTTATCAAGTCCTCGGCATCGCCCAGGACCCAAGAGGGGCCGAAAAAAGAATGTCGAATATTGGCCTCCTCCCGATGAAGGGAGGAGGCAGAGCACTATAAAAAAAGAAATCTCCTCCACGTGAGGGGAGGGGCGCCAAAGCACTCCCCCGTGGGGGGGGGGGGGGGGAGAAGACACAGAAATGGAGTCCAGCCCATGATGGGGCGGTTACTAGGTGCTCTAACCCCCCGACGGGGGGCGAGGGAGAAGGGTTGCTGGGGCAGGGGGAGGGGGAGAAAAAAGAGGGTTGTCGTATGGCCCCGTGAGGGTTTGAGGAGGGAGGAGGAGGAGGGGGGGAAGGAGAGCCATTAGTGGCTACATGTTGAGGATGCTGTTGCATGAGGATGGAGAAAAAAGAAGGGAGGAGGGGAATTTGCGCCTTTTATGGCTGCTGTGCCAAGGGTGGTTGACTGGCTGGGGCTTGGTAGAGAAGGTCTTCGCTAACGGTTCATAGCTTGATTGTCTCTTGGATCATCCGTATAGGTACATGTACTACTGAGATGCCCGCTTGGTATTTTCCTACTGGGAGGAGAGGTATGCGAATCGAGTCACAGGGCATCACTCGCATGCCAAGCCCACATACCTACATGTACCTACATGTACTATGACTCCCAACCGACGAGATACAGGGCGGGGGAAGAGTTAGATCAGAAGAGTGATGATTCAGAGAGTTCTTTAGCTCGATAACATACTACATGTATGTACAAGTAGTCAGATTTGGGTTCACACACAAAACCCCCTCCGGGCCAAAATAGATATGTGACACACACCAATCTATCCGAGCGTGGACATCCTTTCGTTCGTTGCAGTAACAACAGAGACAGATCAAGCCCACGATGGCATGACGATATTCAGGAAATCTAGCTATCTACGGACCGTAGAGGCATAACAATAGGTATAAGAGGGGACACAGCAAAAGGAGGTTCACAGAGTGAGGGTTAAGTTTTACTACCGAGCAAAAGCCGCCCCCAAGAAGCCTTCCCCCCCCCCCCACACCCCCAATTTTTACTTTTGAGAGAGAATTTGGAACATGAGAGAAGTGGTGTGGGGAGAGTGTGCCTAGTGTTTAGTGATATGTATTGTCGGGTGCCAAAAATAGCCGATCACCTCTCGACAACGTCGAAATCCACTTGAGGCCAGAACAACCCAATAATCAGGAGAGCAATTGACTAATTTCAGGTCTCCTAAACGGGAGTTAGATGCTTGAAAAGAATGGACTTGTCATGAGCCCCATAAGACCAGCTATGCTCTTATGGCTTGGCAACACATAAAATCGCTGTTAGTAGCTTTAGACCTTGGAACATTATCATTACAATACTATTACATACAGTCTTTGCATTATAAACATCACTCCCGTGTCTTGGTGACTGTAGTGGGGTGATAGGACTTACCCCTCTGACCTCGAAGGTCTCGATGTGAGGTTTGTTGGCAGGACAGTTTTGGTTGCTATGAGCCTCACGAGGGTGCCAGTGATCGGTTATTTTTGGAACCCGATAATGTTGTACTTTTGAGGCCACATTTGTGCTTGGGATGAAGGACATTTGATGTTGGTGGAGGTTATCGTAACAGTAACTGCAGAGGACATGAATGACGTTGTTCGAATGTTTACTCCCCACAACTCTATATATGGAATTTCTTACGGGATTTTTTTTATCCTAGTATACATGTATGGTGGAAGGTGCGGGGAGTGGTAGAAGAGTTGGATCAGGAACTATCACTCGGTTTCGTGTCTAGCGGCAACAGCTGAAACAGCCGCAACCACCTATATACCACCAATATAATTAAGACCACGGAATAAATGACAAAACGAGTACCAAGTACCGATCAAGAAGTCATATGTAAAGTATAGCTCATTTATTTTCTATAGATCCCAACCTATATAACATACAAATACAGTGTAACTTTACGCCCTCTACACCACGAGATAAAAAACAAAGAAAGAAAGAGTGAGCACAATTCACAGCTACTGCTCCTTGGCGTGTTCCTTCTCCAACTTTGCCTTCTTCTTGGCAACCTCACTTTGCCTCTTCATCTCCGCCTCCGCGCCAACACCGCCAAAGACGAGACCAACACCGAGCCATTGCATACCGGAGAGACTATGTCCAAACGCAAACACGGAGAAGATCATTGACAACATCTTTCGGGTGACGGTGACAGTCACGAGGACAAGAGAGCCGAACTTGGAGAGTGTGTGGACTGGGGATTGATTAGTATTCTTCCTCTATTTAATTTAGCCTGGGAGAGGAGACTTACAGATGAACACCTGGCCGAGACCACCGCAGATAGCGAATCCAAGGATATCCATGGCGATCTTAGGATGCTCCTGGACGAATGCGAGTGCATCGGCCAACTCATTGCTCCACGGGTTCAATGCAAGGTAGGTGAGAGTCATGACGGATGAGAGAGTATTGAGCGCAGTCATCATCTGCGGCCCACTCACGACACCCTTAGGAGTGCGCGCAAAGATATCATCCTGAATGGTGTTTGTGAGACCATCAAACAGGAGGTTGACACCAAGTAGGAACATTCCCCACAGTACGTTCTTCTCCGACTCGGAGGTAGAGGACTTCTTCATCTTCTTGGGGCTGCTGGGGTACAGGGTAAAGACGGCAACGCCGGCAGTGACAAGCATGACGACAACGTACTTGTAGAGGGGATACTTGCGCCTGAAGAGGGTGACGTGCAGGAACATGACGGGGAGGAGCTTGCATGACTTTGCAAGGATATAGGTAATGTAGTCGATGTGTCTGAGCGACGCATAGCCAAAGGGCGAGGCGAGTGATTGGGTTATCGACACGAGGAGAAGCCTAAGTGAGATTGAGAGATTGGGGAACACTCGCGCAGTGGTGGAACCAGCGTTGGAGTAGCGGAAATATATGTATCCGGTAAACGCTGCGAAGATCGATTGGACGGTGTTGAGAACGAGCGACGCGCGAAAGATCTTCTTGTCTGCGCCATAGGGAGTGGTGGTTATTCTCTCCTGCAAGAGTGCCCAAGTCAAGCTAAGAGCTCGTTAGCGGAGTGCGCAGAAGAGGTAATGATCATGGTGCCTACAATGAAGCATAGATGCCACCAACACAGATGACCAGCTGGAATATGGAGCTCCCATGGTCCTTTGCTTCCTCGGCTCTGTGGGCGACTGAGTCAGCAACGGCAGTGATGGGGTCCTTTGCGGTCTTTGCGGTCTTTGCATGATGATGATGGCGACTCCTTGGAGAGGAGGTCTTTAAACGTGTCATTTTTATAAGTAAGAGAAAGTAGTTTGTGGAAATGGCAGAAAAGGCACTGAACTCAATTCAGTATAAAGGCGGGTTAGAGTAAGAAAAAGGAAGAATAGGAATAGGAAGTGAGGGACAGCACAAGGCTTATGCAGGGGAAATAGCGAGTGTGTGCAGCGAGTGGGGGGGGGGGGGGGAAGAGATGTGGGGAGTGAATGAGAGGAAGAAGAAGAAGAAGAAGAAGTAGAGCAGAAGAAGAGGAGGAGGGATGTGGGAGTTGGGTCGAGATGAGCTCTCTCTTTCTCTCTCTCGCTCACCTCACTTGTTCTCCAATTCTGTCCTTTGACCACGGTGTTCTTCGGATGAGTCCAAGCTCTCGCCTCACCAATCTGTGTCGCACTCGCGCTTTCTTCTTTTTTCCCAGCGAGCGATTCTGCCAGGAACGAGCAACTGCAGCAGCAACCAGCAGCAGGGCAGGGCAGGGATGCAGCAGCCAGCCAGCCAGCCAGGGATCGATCAGCAAGCAGCACCACTGCACCAGCCAGTAACCAGTCGGTCAGAATCCGTCAGACCACGGTCCCCAGTGGCTGTACAGTGTGGAGAAGCTGCGGTTAGTGTGTGGCTGCTGCACCTGCCATTGGCTCTACGCGCAGTCTGCGTAGCCCACATCCAACCAACTCTATTTTGAGCCTCAACCCCTGGCTGGCCCAGCGTTGGATCCTGGAGAGCCGAAGAGAGAGAAGAGAGGAAGGGGGAAAAAAAAAAAAGAAGAAGGGGTAAAAGAAGGGATGGCCCAGGGGGTCGGGTGGGAACAGAACATGGAGAGAGACCACCGTCCATGCAAACTAGCTGGAATATATATGTGGGTCCTCTATAGGCACAGTGCAACTCTATGTAGGGTCCCGTTCCCCAGAGAAAGGGCTGCAGCGGAATTTAAAAGAGAGAGACCCGAGTCCCGGTCTGTACCTAGGTGTGGTATCATAATCATACATGTATGTACATTCTTCTACTCACTTGGAGTCACTCCATGCTCTACCTATATCCTCTAGACTAAAGCTGCTGCCGTTCCCCCCCTCGAGTGCGTGGATGTGCATGATCATGGGGAGAAAAGAGCAGTAATAGCCATATGCACAGCGCAGTAGTGCGAGGGCCGAGGAAAGGAAGAGGAAGTCGGAGACCGAGCCGTGCACCCAGTAGGAGGGGGGGAGATCTGGAGAATTCTATGTAACTAAGGGCATGAGCATGAAGCGTGGGAGCATGAGGTCCATGACCAGAACCATACGATGCCGGCATTCCTCAGTCATGTCAGGGACTGCAGAGAAAAGGGTTGTCGGAGAAGGAAGACGAGGAGGCAAGGACGGGGACGGAGCGAATGGGGACCGGTCTACATGCTTTTTTTCTTCCTTTCTCTCTCTCTTCTCTTTCTTACTCTGTCCACGGTGTCTCTCTTCTTCTTCTTCTTCTTCTCATTCCCTCACTGCTGCTCACTCTCTCACTCTCACTCTCACGCAGCACTCATTCATCACTCATTTAATGCTTCATCCGTCCATTCCTTCAGTCAGTCAATAATAACCATCAGACAGACAGACGACATTCTCTCAGACGGTGCTGCTACTTGCTTGCTCTCTTACTTGCTCTATTGCATACATTCAATACTTGCTACTACTGCTACTGCTACTACTTACTTTACTGTGCTCTAACAAATATTACTATTCTATATACATACATACATACATACCCATCTCACCGTGCTCGACTGTTTGTCTTGCTGTGTTCCCACGATAGCTCTCGTTCTCCCTTCTCGCAATGTCTCAAGACCTACTGAGTGAATTCGCAGAATTCTCCTCCTCCTACTCCTCCCCAAGCCCTCTGCTCCCACCATACCAAACTCCAGAGCACCACCCAACAGCCGCCGCTTCACCTCCGCAGACCCCCTCGGCCTCGACCTGTCCTCTGCCCCCCCTCCTCCCCAGAACGCCCCACTCCACAATGTCCCCCTGGTCCGGACCGGCTCCCACGGCCACCAGCACCGAGCATCCGCGACGAATTTCGACGACCTCCTTGCATACGTCAACAACCCGCAAGCACCATGGCCCCCAAAGCCGCACCACATGTCGAGGCTAGGCCACACCCCGAGACAGATGTCCTACCATGGCCCTCTGCCAAACCCAAAGAAGATTGATCTTTTTGAAGCTCTGGGGAACGACTTTTCGGGGAGCGATGGGAGGGGTGGGAGGTTCACGCCCCCGCCACTACCGAGATCGTCGAGCAGGAATGGACACAGCATCAGTCGGAAGACGACCCCGGTATCGCATCAGGGAGGTAGCACGAACGGATCTGCGTATGGAAGCTTCTCGGCGCCTACGCCGCCGCCAGATCTACTCGACCTCATGGACAGCGACAAGCTCGAGTGCGAGGCAGAGGACGATTTTGGAGATTTTGCGTCTGCGACGACAAGTGCTCCGAGGAAACCGTCAATGCCGGCGCTGACACCCATGCAAGCTCTATCACCGACGCCAGCAACGGCTACTAATACGGCGCCTGGCACACCGAATTCGGGCTCGTCGGGGAATCATACGCCAAAGAATAGCTTTTCGGGAGTGCAGCAGTACGGCAATGGGCTACGGAATAACACGCCGCCACCGAGCTCAATGTCTGGGTTTAGCTTTCCCGCGGTGAACAATGCCCCCAAGGACAGTTTCGCGGGGCTACAGAGCTTAAATCCGGCGCGGAACAGCATTGGCACGCCGCCTCCAGCGTCACTATCAGGGTTCAGTTTCCCTTCGACTGCAGCAGCTACACCGCCGAGAAATAGCCTACCAGGACTACAGACGGGTGGCAATTACCGGAACAGCATGAGCGGTTCAATTGCTCCGCCGACGCCGCCAAAACCGACAAACCAGCTCTTGACGAAGCTCGTTACCCCGATGCTGATGGATGACGATGACGACTTTGGCGACTTTATCTCGTCTCCTGTTGTCTCTGCTGCACCCAAGAACGTCTTCAACACCCCGCCGCCTGCCGCTAAAAGTTTTAGTAGCCCGCCGCGAACACATACCAGCCGTCCCAGCATCACGTTGAAGAACTTTGCGCCCACGCACCTCTCACCACCCCGGAAACTAGTGCAAGAAGAAGACCCAATGCCGCCGGTAGCGGTCCTGCTAACAGCATTCCCACCATTGTTTCTACTACCGCAGACCCACCTCCTCGACAAGCTCACCGCGCTCCCGTTCCCTCTCCGACAACGCGTCCTCTCGGACCCCAAGTCCCGCGATTTCCTCGAAGGCACCTGCGAGCTCGGGCGGGTGGCAGGGCGCATCATCGCCGGCCGAAAGCGGCGGCCCAAGACTGTTGGCCGCGGGCGTGCAGGCAGCGGCGGGATGAAGCTAGCGGGCGGTGCCAATTCGGGGTGGGAACAGCAGAAGGAGGAGCGCGAGGTCAAGGAGACGTGTCGGCTGTGGAGCGACGGCGCTGGACGACTGAAGGCTGCAATGGGAGCGGGGGTTCCAGAGGTCATGGACGAGGTCGGACGCATACCTGCTAAGGTTGTTGGCGGGTGTAAGCTGTGCGGGCTGGCGAAGAGTGAGGTGCTGCCGGGGCTGAGGGAGCGGACGGAGAGGTTGGGGTGGTGGGATGCGGGGTGGGGCGGGCATGGCGGGTGTAGGGGGTTTTGGGAGAAGCATGGGAAGACGCTGAAGGGTTGATGGTGATGGTGATGGATTGGAGGTATTGTTGTTTTGTTGTGCGGAGATGATTGGGTTGTGTATGCTTCTTCTTTTCTGTAGGATGTTTTTAGGTATCATAATGAGGTAGCATTTCTTCTTGTACAAATCAAAAAGTCGTTCTTGTATTACAGTAAGATCAGGTGGATTATGGCACCTAGCTGTGCCTTTGACTCTGTTCTCCGTCTCTCTGTCTCTCTGCTTGTGATGATTGTGACCATTCTGATATTCCCATTCGCCAAACAACCGGCATTCCAGTCATTGGCACACAGACAGCACTGCAACGCCCAAAGTCCCAGCTGAGTGAGGCCCCCAAAGACCAGCATATCCCCACACCCCGCGTACCCCCCATCCCACCCCCCCGACCCGCAGCGACACAGCAACAGCGACAGCGACTGCAGAAGGAAGAGCTGTGAATATTGAACATCGCAGCTCTAAAGAAAGAACACCCCGCAGACCCCGAATCCAGCACAGCAGGAATCCAGACACCGCGATCGATGCTGGACATTCAGGACGCCCGGTACACATCTACACCCCCCCCCCCCCCATACCATACCCCCGCGCCCTGCAATTCCCAATCCCAATCCCTGGCTGCATGGAGTAGCTAGAGAGCTCATGGCTGACAGGAGTACTATAACAGAGCCCGCTGGAAAGCAACCTTCGAGCCCGGCCCGCGCCCCACGCCCGAGGGCCTCAAGTCGTCCGGCGGCCTGCGCAGCGTGTGCTGGAAAGTATACCTCCCCTCCCTTCCTCCTTCCTCCTTCCCCTTCCCCTTCCCCTTCCCCTTCCCCTTCCCTTCCCCTTCCCCTTCCCCTCCATCCACCCACCGACTGACCGACTGACCAATTGGGGCGACAGACATGGCTCCTCCTTCCCACCACGGACCAAAGCACCTGGCGCGCCACGCTCGCCGCCTCCCGCAGCGTCTTCGAGGACCTGCGCACCAGCTACATGGCGCCGTTTGACCTCGAGCGCGCCGACGACGGGACGGGCGTGGAGCTGGACCCGCTGGCGGAAGATGAAGCTGTCCGTCCCCTCTCCCCTTCCTGTCTGTGTGGTGCTAACAGAGGTGGCGGAAAATAGAACCCCTGGGACCGCTACCGCAAAGACGAGGAGCTCCGCGCCGAGATTGTGCAGGACGTCGAGCGGTGCATGCCCGACGTGTCCTACTTCCGTGGCGCGGAGGTGCAAAAGTCGCTGCTGGACGTGCTGTTTGTGTACTGCAAGCTGAACGAGGACCTCGGCTACCGCCAGGGCATGCATGAGATTGTGGCGGTGATTCTGTGGGTGCTGTCTGCTGATGCTGTTGCTGCTCCCGGTGAAGAAGACGGGGTGAAGAGGGAGGGGGGAGAGGAGGAGGAGGAGATGGTGAGGGCGCTCTGCGACGAGCGCTATGTCGAGCATGATACGTTCAGCCTGTTCCAGGTTGTGATGCGCTCTGCAAAGGCGTGGTATGAGCTCGGCGAGGAGGGGGAGGGGAAAGGGAGGGGCAGGGAGAGCCGTGGGCGCCCGCCGATTGTGGATAAGAGTCGGTGGATCCATGAGCATCTTGTCATGGCCGTGGACCCGGAGCTGGGGAATCATCTCAAGGCGCTGGATGTGCTGCCGCAGGTGTTTTTAATGTGAGTGATTTGCTGTGATGCTGCTTTGAGTTGGAGTGGATGGCTAATGGTGGGATTTCATATCGGTAGACGATGGATCAGGCTGCTCTTTGGAAGAGAGTTCCCCCTCGACGAGCTGATTGAGGTGTGGGATTGCCTCTTTGCGGAGGACCCGGGGCTGCAGCTCGTGGACTACATCTGCGTGGCCATGCTTCTGCGCATCCGCTGGCAGCGTATGCTCTCTCCCGTTCTATATTTCTCTATTCCTATATTCCCAGAATATCTCTCTATTCTCAGAACATATCTAGCTCTCTCCTATATTCCGTCTACACTCCCAGAGTTCATTCTACATCACTAGCCAGCACTCGCACACATCTATCTACATGTCAATGATCTCACTAACACCCCGCCCGCACAGTCGTAACCGCCGACTACTCCACCGCCCTCACCCTCGTCCTCCGCTACCCGTGCCCCTCCGCCGCCCACCCGCCGCGCACCTTCGTCGCCGACGCCCTGCACCTGCGCTCCAACCTCACCTTCACCGGCGGCAAGCACATCATCACCCTCTACTCCGACCGGCCCCCCAAAACGCCCCTCCCCCCGCGCCCCACCAAACCCACCGCCAACACCAACAACACCACCACCGCGGCATCACGAACCAAATCCCCCCTTGGCAGTCCCACGCGCTTCATCCCCGGCGTCCAGCTCGACTCGGTCCTCAGCGACGTGACGCGCACCGTCCTCGACCGCGGCGAGAAGTGGGGCGTCAACCGCACCATCGGCCGCGCGGTCGGCGAGGTCAAGAAGAACGTGCAGGGCTTCCAGCAGCAGCAGCAGGCGCAGTGGGCGGAGGCGAGTAAGGAGCTGGCGAAAGAGGAGGAGCTCGTGAAGCGGAGTAGGGCGCTCAGTAAGAAACTGAAGCACGACGAGGAGCGCAGGAGGCTGCTGGAGAAGGCGCTTGGTGCGGTCATTGATGCGCTGGAGCAGGAGCCGCTGGGCGCTGTGGAGAGGGCGAGTGCGATTGAGAGGTTGAAGGGTGTGAGGGCGTGTTTGGCGGATAGCACGAAGGTGGTGGGGCCGGAGCTGTTGGAGACAATTGCGCCTGGGACGCCGGTGTCAGCGAGACATCCGCCGCCGGGATTTAGGAGATCGTCGTCTGCCGCCGCTGCAATATCGCCGCTGAACCCGGCGTCACCAATGTCTGCGGCGTCGTCGACGATGGTGAAGACGCCGAGCTCGCCGCCGGGGGGCTTTGTTAAGACGAGTTTTAAGAATAATTCAGACCCGGACTTTCTGACGCACAAGCCGCGGTCGTCGCTAGCGCAGAGCAGCTTTGCGTGGATGCTGGGCGACGATCCGGCGGTGAAGGCGAAGACGGGGTTTGTGGCGGGGAAGGGGAAGGGGGGAGGTAGTGGTGGTGGGAGTGGGGCGGGGGGCAGTGGGGAGATGGTGAGGGTGGGGAGTAAAGACGGGAAGGGAGAAGAGGAGGGGACGGAGGGGTTTGATTTGGGGAGTATGGAGGGGAAGAAGGTGAATTCGAAGGAGGGGTGATATACCATGCATGGTGAGAAAAAAGAGCGGGTTTGTCTTGGTGTTTTTTCCTCTTCTTTTTTTTTTCCTTTCTTATTCTTTTTCTTCTTGTGCTAGCTGTTTCTTTTTATAAGAAAAAGATTATATTGGTTTTTTTCCTTCTGTTGTTTCCTTCTTTTTTTTTCTCTTCTTTTTTTTAAAACAACACAATAAATATTTCTCTGGTGTATAGAGATTGTAGATAATATATTTATAGGGCCATTTACCTATGTAGCTTACTTACCATTACTGGTTTGATTAATCGTCGGTGTCTTTTAGGGGCCCCGTACTTTGAGGATGGACTCGTGGCTGGTCCAACATCAAGACTGGATGCTGTTCGAGTTTTGATATTCACTGGATTCAGTGATTCCTCGTGGTTTCAAGAAGATATATTTGAAGTGGCGTGCATAGTTCACAATTTCAATGAACGCTACCAAGCTAAATACAGCTCAAGTCATCCCACATGGAGCTTGAGAAGACTACTAAGCTCCCAGTACGAGATATTTGATATTGTGCCTCGATGGTTGTAACGATATCTCTTGAGGGGACGGTATACGGTATGTCGTTTTAAAATATAGCGTAGTAAATCAGACTGGCCATGTTGGTCCAGTTGTAGTCGAACCTGCTATAGTTCACTCCGTGCAGTCGGGCATGCAGAATATGTGATCTGGGGATAGCCATATCGTACCTATAGTAAGTATATATAAGAAAGTAGAAAGTACAGCATCCATACGTTAACTACCAAAGCTTCTAGAAGTGTGCAAAATAGCATAAAGGCATGTAGGGAAGTTGAAGACAGACTGAGACGTTGTATAGTGAACGGTATTCTATCCACAAGACTGTAGTAATACCATGACTGTAGTCTGTTACTATGTAATCGATCCTGGTAGCGTTCCTGCAGGTACACCAGCGGTTTTTCCCATAACTTAAATCACCACGCAGCGAGTGGTATCTATCTACATGTAGCTTTATCTGCAGGAGAGGAGGGGAAGTCTTTCCGGATAATTAAAGATAAGGAAACTGTAGAGATATATATGTAGAGTATATCCTGGAAGTGACTAGGCCCGATCTAGACCGTGTGTATGTACGCAAAATATATAGCAGATGCGTCAGGGGTAGGTTGTCATACTTTCCCAAACACAGTCATAATCTCTAGATGTACATGTAGGGGAGGATTCCTCGGAGCTAGGATTTTTGCTATATATGGTCTGTTAAATATCCAACGCAGAAGACCCGGGCCCTGGACAGTGTCCCAAGATTTGGAAGGCTGTATCTGGGATAACCACTTCCAGACATGATGAGATACAGCATTAGTACTGCAGTGCCCCTTGCAAAGACGTACCTGCAATGCTAGTTTAATCTGAAATATCATAACAAGTTCCTCATTAGTACCAGTACGGCCGCTTTAACCAGAACGTACTGCACTGTTGATACCACAAGCTACCAGAGCAGTAGATAATAATCCCTTTGGGGTAAGTATATTCAGTTAGTCGGCCTAGGATCTGGACTCACTTCTTAAGCTCATGTGGCTGTATCCCTAGTATAAAAGCTTACTTAACCTTACATGTAGTTCTTGTGATATCTCAGACCCTCGCCACTTTTGAGGGTTGCTGCATGTGAATGCTTACTGGAGTTGCTCGTTTTCAGGAGTGGGCTGTTTTATGCCTGTCTCTGCATGGTGTCGATTAGCATGTACTACTAGTATGCCCCCGTACCTGTCTGTACGTACCTGCCCATCCATAACCTCATATAACTAATCCACACTTATTCCCACTCAACTAAGCACTTCTTGGGGTGATCCGCTGCAGGGGTCACAGAGAAAGTGCGGAGAACCCCATTCGAAGAGCAACGTCAACAAACATCATAGAGACCCAGATCTCAAGAGTTATGTACTCCTGGATGTTTGTTTGTCTTGTATTATAAATCTGAAAACCTCCGTTTGTTTCAATTCCTCCCTGGTACCGTCTGCCAAAGAAAAAAAGGGTGACATCTGTCAGATATCCCCAGAAATTACCCCTTCCCGCTCCCTCCCCTGTTGTCTTTGCGGCTCTTCATTAAGGTTAGACGTCTTCTTGGCGTTGCAATCACCCGAGTTCTGAGCAGCGCTCCCGACGGTTCCTCGACTCCTCCTCTCTCCTCCTCTACCAGAGCTCACTACACTTGCATCCTTCTCCATATCATTATCTCAACAGGCCCATCCCTAGACTAAATATACACATATCCATTCCAGCTATGGACGCATTCCTCGGCTCTCCCTTCGGCCAGATGTCGCCTCCTGACCCCCCCGCTCCTGCTGCACCCCGTCACGCGTCTCGCCCACCCCAAGCATCTGCTGCAGATAGCTGGAGTGCCCAGCAGAGCAGCCTTGCCCTGCGCTTCTACCGACTTGGTCTTCCTGGGGTTGCAGAGCTTGTGCTCAGTGCCACGAAGCTGGATACCGCCGCACTCGCTAGAGATGCTGCCATGCTGGAGGCTGCTGGGGGTAATACGCCAGGTGGAACTGTTGCTCCGGGAGTCAATGCTGTCGTGGGGCGGGAGGTACACGGTTCAGTTGGGAGTAGTGGAAGTGTCGGCGGCGGCGGCGGCGGCGGCGGCGGTGGTGGGGTTTCGACCCCTCCTGAAACTCCGAGCGTAGCTATTCCTTAATATGCCTTTTCTGAGCCCCCGGAAGTTGTACTCATTTATATCGTGGTGGATAGACCGTAGGCCGTTCTCGCCAACCCGGTGAGAAGTCGGATCGTTTAATTGCCCATAAGGCCAAGTCGATCATGGACCTGAAACAGGGTGACTTCGATATCCAAGTGACGCTCGGACGCATTTCACAGTTGGAGTACGATCCATCTGATCCTGTGCTTTCCGATGTCCCAGAGGGTGCAAAGCCAATTGCTGGTTTCCTGCTGGGCCTCGTCAGGTTGTACATGCAGACGGAAAACGAGCATGATAAGAAGACCCTTCAGTGCGTAGCGTTGTATCATCTTCACATTGTGTTCGATGGCTTGGTGAAGAATTTTCGAGGGAAGGATGCCAGGGCCAAGGCTAGTGAGGTTCTGGTAGGTTGTCTATGGGAACAAGTCGATTGAGAGCCATTGATACTAACGTGAGAAGTGCCATGTGATGGCGGACATGCCAATGGCTAAATCAGCCAGCAGTTTTGTGACGCTTGCAACCGCGAGCCGTTGGTTGCGAGAACTTTGCGATTATATGGGCGGTCCCAGATTCTCGCAACACTTGCTCTACGTCCGTGGGGACTTCACCATAACCAAGTAAGACGGGGATTAGAGGGGGGAGGGCCGTTTATTTCCTCGAATCACTAACAATACTCCAGTTTCAAACAGATGATGACCTCTGCCGAGCGCCTTCGAATCATTAAGGAGGCCCTGTCCGATGCACGTGAGTATTATCTCGGACAACTAGATGGCCTCTATGGAACCTTCGTCCCTCAATACATTCCGGCTTTCTATAGCGAAGCGATAGGAGCACGATAGTGGCGAGAACCGAGGTGATTCTATACCTAGGTCGTAGGTATAGGTTTATACTTGATTATTTGTTTGATTATCGTAAGTTTCCCCACTACCTAAGAAGTCGTGAGTCTGGGATATGTCAGTCACATCTGGCAAAAGTTTATTTCTGCGTCTCTCCCAACCTCTGCATGTCGTGGGGTTTATAGTATGGGCCTACTTCACATGAGGCCGTGAAGTTTCCTGGTGGCTATTGGATTAAGTACCGGCTAACATGATGAAGCGTGGTTCACCACAGACAACTGACTGTAAAATACTCTGTTGATACCGCTTCATTTTTGGGAGTTTATCGTGTCTTTCTTTGTTTTCCTCTTGGCGTTTTCTGTCTTTTGTCTCGCTCATGTTTCTCCCCCATTGTTTGATTTTCTTTTTTCCCGTCAATTGCATTTTGAAGAAGTTTTTTTTGGAAGCATTGCGTTACATCTGGTTTATGGAATAAAGACGTTTTTCATGTACAGAAGCTGAGTCTAAACTGCATCAACGAGGAGACGAGTGAGATGCTGTGAGTTGACTGTTGTAGACTCATTGGTCACTTGATCGGGACGGAGAGATTAATAAATGAGTAAGTAAATGATGTCAAAAGAAGACCTGATTAGTTCTTAGTCAAACTCAAATCGAGTGCGAGGCAAGAATCCGGGTAGAGGCATGGGCTTCCTGGGCCTGTTGAACTTAAAAATACCCACAATGAGGGACAAACCGTTGAACGCATGGTGAATATATATCCGTGTCTTCTTTTCGGCGGGGGGTTTTATACATCGTCGGTACTACAATTCACAAGGCATGGACGCCTTTCCCGAGATAAGCTTCTCGCTTCAAGTAGGTTAAACTTGATTAAGGTATCTCAAAAAACGTGAGCGGAAGATTTTTCTCGGACTTCTTCAAATCTCCCTGCCAGGGGACTATACCTACGCTAACCAAAGTAGTCAGCTGCAAGGGTTCTCGTTGACTGAACTCTAACAGACCCTAACAGCTGGCTGGAGACTGGTGCTTTTGAGATACATGTAGAGACTAAGAAAAGGGATATTCTAGACACAACCTCCACTGACTCTAAACTGATGAGATGAGCAACACCAGATGTGGAGGTTAGGGGTTGTTACAGTATGACTCTACCGGCGGTACTGCAGTTTCATGACTGTGCATGATGGCAACTTTTGCGTTACATGGTTGAAGGTTTGTTCCTTCTTTGATAAAACCCCACCCTTGCTAGTGATAGAAGATGAGACATCAAACTACACTATTCACAATTAAAAGCCTTGAATAGACGTTACTACCCGCATTCTGATGGCACCGGTGTGCAGATGTGGCTCGAAAACATGCAGTAGTGCCAATGAAGTAGGTATCTCGAGGGCATGGATGCATGACGATAAGGAATTTGGACATGATTACTTTAGTTTCGTTCGTGAGGAATATCAGCCCATCCATTGGGCAATTGGAATCAATTACGGACCCTGTATTTGATATTGATAGCAAGATGATTTATCTCTCACCGTTTCCGAAGTCGGTAGGTCGAGTAAACCTTGAAGATATGGTAAGGCGAATCACAAATTTTACCCCTCTCACCCCTCCATCATCCACTTTTTCGTTTTTTTTCCTTGCCCCCTCCGCGTAACTTTTACTTCATTACCCAATGAAGCTTAGTAGAGACAGGGTAGGTCGTTAGTTGGGAGGCAAGCTGCAGCCAAAGAAAAAAAAAAAAAGTAGGAATTTACCTACGTGGGGACTGAGGGCTCCCAGTCACAAATGCCAAGCCCACCGGAGGCGGGGCTGCCCTCAACCCCTCTGACTACCCCTCTTCCCTTTAAATTCCCATCTTCCACACGAATTTGTGAAGTTCTCTTCTTTCTTTTCTCCCCTCCTTGTCACTGTGAGTCTTTCTCTCCTACCCCAAAACTTTCATCCATCAACATCTACTGACTTTCCTTCGTAGCATACCGAACAAAAGCTACGTTCTTCTGAGTAATTCACACAAACACACTTCTTTTTTTACATCCACACATTCACAATGGGGTAAGTTCGTTCGTTTCTCTTGTCTCATTCTTGAAAACAACAGTGAAAGTCTTTATGGAAACAACACAATCATCACCGCAAGTGGTTTTTGATGGCTTTTCCTCATTTCGGTGATGGGAAAGCCATCAGAAGCTATTGAAGGTGTTTGGTTTTTTTACTGTGGCTGTGGAAGTTCGCTGCTTTTTCGTGAGACTGAAAATTTTCCAAAAAGAAAATGCTAACATCAATTCTGCTCATAGAAAGGAAAAGCTTCACATTAACGTCGTTGTCATCGGACACGTCGACTCCGGAAAGTCCACCACTACCGGTCACTTGATCTACAAGGTTTGCATTCACAGCCAAAAAAAAAAAAATTTCACGATACTAACCAATTTTCTTATGATAATAGTGCGGTGGTATTGACAAGCGTACCATCGAGAAGTTCGAGAAGGAAGCCGCTGAGCTCGGAAAGGGTTCTTTCAAGTATGCCTGGGTTTTGGACAAATTGAAGGCCGAGCGTGAGCGTGGTATCACCATCGATATCGCTCTCTGGAAGTTCGAGACCCCCAAGTACTATGTCACTGTCATTGGTAGGTTGACCCCACACCTTATCTTTTTGATCTTTTGTGTATCTAGATCTACCCCGCTAGTCCCATTTGAAATTTTTCCGAGACAACGCTAACATTTCTTTGTTAGATGCCCCTGGTCATCGTGATTTCATCAAGAACATGATCACTGGTACTTCCCAGGCTGATTGTGCCGTTCTCATCATTGCCGCTGGTGTAAGTTCTTACCATATCGTTGGATTTTTTTAACATTCACTAATTACTTCGCATCACAGACTGGTGAGTTCGAGGCTGGTATCTCCAAGGATGGTCAGACCCGTGAGCACGCTCTTCTCGCCTACACCCTTGGTGTTAAGCAGCTCATTGTTGCCATCAACAAGATGGACACTACCAAGTGGTCTGAGGATCGTTTCAAGGAAATTGTCAAGGAAACATCCAACTTTATCAAGAAGGTTGGATACAACCCCAAGACTGTTGCCTTCGTTCCTATCTCTGGATTCAACGGTTAGTAACCTTCCTCTCCTCAATTTTAACATTGTCTAACATCCATCTGTCAGGTGACAACATGATTGACTCCTCCTCCAACTGCCCCTGGTACAAGGGATGGGAGAAGGAGACCAAGGCTGGAAAGTCTTCTGGAAAGACCCTCCTTGACGCCATTGACTCTATTGAGCCCCCAACCCGTCCTACCGAGAAGCCTCTCCGTCTTCCTCTCCAGGATGTCTACAAGATCGGTGGTATCGGAACAGTTCCCGTCGGTCGTGTTGAGACTGGTGTCATCAAGCCCGGTATGGTCGTTACTTTCGCCCCCGCTGGTGTGACCACTGAAGTCAAGTCCGTCGAGATGCACCACGAGCAGCTTACTGAGGGTCTCCCCGGTGACAACGTTGGTTTCAACGTCAAGAACGTCTCCGTCAAGGAGATTCGTCGTGGTAATGTTGCTGGTGACTCCAAGAACGACCCTCCCAAGGGTGCCGAGTCCTTCAACGCCCAGGTCATCTTGATGAACCACCCTGGTCAGGTTGGAAACGGTTACGCCCCAGTTCTCGACTGCCACACCGCCCACATTGCCTGCAAGTTCGCTGAGCTCCTCGAGAAGATTGACCGTCGTACCGGAAAGTCCACTGAGACCTCCCCCAAGTTCATCAAGAGTAAGCTACCATTTCTTAATACATTCTTTCGTAATCGAATATTATACTAATATATCAATCATAGGTGGTGACGCCGCCATCGTCAAGATGGTTCCCTCCAAGCCCATGTGTGTTGAGGCTTTCACTGAGTACCCTCCTCTCGGTCGTTTCGCCGTCCGTGACATGAGACAGACCGTCGCCGTCGGTGTCATCAAGTCCGTTATCAAGGCTGACAAGGCCGGAAAGGTTACCAAGGCCGCCGTCAAGGCCGGTGCCAAGAAATAAATGGGTTAAATGGTGTGCTGGGTATGGTGAGAGATAGTTCCACGAGTTCTAGATGCACTGTGTTCTGTATACTTGGGGCGTTGAAAAAAATTCATTTCATTTCTGTTATATTTCCTTTTTTTGTTCAAGAGTTGAGAAATACGAAAATATTTCCCTCTCCACTCTTCTCTCATCGTGATCAGTCGAAACCATCACTTGTGATCATTAATCGTGATATCAATCGTGCCCATCCCACTGTAACCTTGTAGTTTCATTTCATCTTATCCCTGTGAATCCCAAGAGTAGCAACGTTATTCATTGCATTGATTTTGGTTGAGATAGTACGATTTCCCGCCAGTTGGATATATATTTTTTATTCGAGAATAATTCTTGCCCTTTCTCTGCAAAAAAATATTCGTCTGGTTCAGGTGGTCCTTGGGGACATGGCTTCATTCGTTTTGCTATAGTTGGGAGCGTTGATGCATCCAAAATCACTCGTCACCTCTTTTTCCAGCATTAGTCATCACCTATGCATTTACATGCGCTTTGAAGAACTAATGACCCAAAACGCCTGTACATAGACGTAGCCCGACTGCCAAAGTAATCTCGTAGGCTCTGGTTCGAGACTACAATTCAGGAATTGTCTAACTCGGACTTCTTCTGGGAATTTGACCCGGGAGTTAAGTATTTGTACCTACGTAGGTGTTTAATTCTCTGCTCTAGGGCCGGGACAGCATCACAACCACCAATTTATTATACCTGGATGTCACAGGGGACCTTGAAGAAGTGAATTCATGAAGCTAGCCGACTGGCCATATACACATATCATGCATGAGCTCAGTTGAATGGTGACTAAGCGATACATATAGTTTTGTGCATACTCAACCCTGAAGTAAATAAACCTCAGGACATATCTCGGAATTATTGCCGCAGCTGCCCAAAGCAACGGCTCGCTGCACGTACGAAAATATAGAGATTGATTATAAAACACTGGAAATCCAACTCCAATTTCTGTTTTTATCTCCACCCACAGTGCTACGGACATCTAGCATCCCGGCTCTGACAACTCAATATGAAAACGGTATTCCATCCGTACATACATGTACAACCTCCCTGCAAGACCCAAAGGCCCTTGATAAGGGAGTACGTATAAACTTTATAATTTAAGGTAAACTGCGCCAAGCTTCCTGGTCGCTATCTGTGGGACATTACAGGTACTTTCGGGCGAGCTTCCGTACACTTGGGACTGCTGATCCCAGTCGATGTATCCGATATCGACAAAACCCCGGCGGAAGTCGATCCCTCTCGTTGTACAAACATGTTTCTTTTGGACATGTGCACACACATGTCTCCTCACAACGGCGACATACTACGGGGTCAAATAGGCCGAAGAAACGGCGTACCCGGGGAATTCATCGGAAGTCCCCATTGGAGGAGGGTCTAAAGCCTACCTATAAGAGAGATGTAATATTTCTTTTTTTGTGGAAACTTCAAGTTGGTTCTTTTTTATTTACAGCGACCAATTCTGATATTCCAAGATGAGGAGTTTTACGACAGCAATAATCCTGGGAGCTTCCGCTCTTCCCCTTTCGTTTGTTGCTGGAGCAAAGCCGTATTCACAATGGATGGCCGACTCTGTTATTGCTCGTAAAACCCCTCTTGGGAAAAACGCGGCGGGGAGCGTCCTCATGACTTACGACCACGGGGTTTTTGAGCGCGCTCTCGAGATGGTCTATAATGTTACTGGAAACGCAACTTATCTCAGCTATTTGAAGACGGGAGTTGATAATATTATGAACTCGGCGGGAACACTGTTGGACTATGATCTTGATTATTATACTCTTGATGATGTGAGATTGGGGCCTGAGTTTATCTATATGTGGGTTTTTCGTGAGCGTTTGTTTTCCTGATGGGATAAATATAAATAAGTTACTTACAAAGTTACGGAAACAGGTATTTGAAGACGGGGACCGCAAAGTACAAGACTGCAGCAGACACCTTACGTCTTCAGCTCCAGACCCAGACACGCAACAAAGAAGGTAAATATATCCCAAAGAAACCCAATTGAGCTCGAGCGAAACTAACAATCCTCCAGGTGGTTTCTGGCACCGCTCCACTTATCCTAACCAAATGTGGCTCGACGGACTCTACATGCAGGCTCCATTCTATACCCAATACACCAGCTTCTTCCAGCCCACAAACACCACCGCCTATAACGATATCGTCAAGCAGTTCGACCTCATCGAGAAGTACACCCGTAACTCCACAAACAGTCTCCTGAAGCACGGCTATGACGAGTCGAAGGTAGCTGTATGGGCTGATCCCGTAACTGGCGAGAGCCCAGAGGTCTGGGATAGGGCTTTGGGATGGTATCTGATGGCACTTTTGGATGTGCTCGATTATTTCCCAGCGTCACATGCGGGAGCGACCACGTTAAAGAATTACTTTATCAGAGCTGTTGCAGGGGTGAAAGCAGCAGCAGATCCTACAACGGGAGGTTGGTGGTTGGTGATGTCTGAGCCGTGGCCGGGACATGCTGGTAATTATATTGAGACCAGTGGGACAGCAATGTTTGTTTATGCAATGTTGAAGGGAATCCGCAAGGGTTACATCAGTAAAGCAGATTACTTCCCAACAGCGGAGAAGGCATATAAGTTGTTGCTTTCGGATTATGTAGTTGAAGATAGTAGTGGACTGTTGAATTGGGAAGGAACAGTAAATGTGGGAAGTTTGGGTAGTAATGGAACGTTTGAGGTGAGTTGACTCTTTCAAGCCATCTCTAAGATTGAAATGATGAAGTTGATACTAACATAACTAAATTCTAGTACTATATCTCGGTGGCAGAAAAGGAGAACGATTTCAAGGGCCTTGGACCTTTTATTTACGCCAGTATCGAGTATGAGCAGATGACAAGTACATGACGGGACGGACTTGAGTAATGTCGGATGGATATTGAGAATAAAGATATTTATGTTCATATATCGCGCAGTTTCTCATCATGCAAATAGATTTTTAAAGCACTCCTATTCAATCACTTTCCCGAATATTTATCCTCATTTCTACTGGATTGAATGAATCCCAAACCCCTACAAATATTGTAACACTAACACCAGCCTAATTCTTTCCTTGCGCCGATCTGCTATGTTAAAGTATTTAACCCAAGCCTAGGGCTGGGTGAATACATATGGGCCACGTCAAAGTCATTCCTCGGAGTGAGTCATCCACCTCTTGTAAAGGTGTTAAATCGTTTTGGGTAATTCAAGTGTCATAATGTATACTGGAGCTGCACTGCATTATGTTTAGTAAAGTCCCAAAGGATTGAGGTGCATCAAAGCACCGGCGTAAATGTAACAGCTAAAGTGATTCCATGAACCCTGACTCGGGACTAGGGTTAAGAATTATATTATCATCATTACCTGGCTATTACAAATATTCTTGGGGAGAAGTGAAGTCGATTGATGTACCCCATGAATCCAGCAGGACAAGGGTTAATTAACTCCAAGGTAGACTCCAGGGCTTTGTAGATGAGCTTCACTTTCCGAGCGGTAATTTTAGGTATTGGTGTTATCTTGCTCCAAGATCAAAAATGATAGCTTCCCAGGCGCGGATATTCGTGACAAATAGAAAGGTAATAGTCAGGAAAATAGAGAGATAATAGTAAGGAGAAAAGGGACGACGATAGACGTAAAGGTATAGTATAACTTAGGTTAATTGTAGGGGAGTAAAACTGAGGTTATCATGTCTACAGCTTAAACATACCATGACCCTTCCCACGATGGCTTTGAGAGATAACAACGCCGACCACATCCAACTAAAGTTATCAGAAGAGAATTTCGAGGCGTGGTGGGGCACATATATAAACTATGTCCCATTCATTAGACTTCAAAAATACTTTCAACCAACGATCTATGTAACAACTTACCCAGAACTACTGACTAAGCATCAGTATATCTATCATCGACCTCAATTACAGGCCAAATTTCCGACTCATGGAAGTACTCTTCATCATGTTGATCCGGGGTTGAATTATCTACCCTCTCTGAGCCGGCTGTTTCCGGCTCTTTCTCGCTACCATCACCCTCAACATCTGCATCATCATCCTCCTCGGTTTCTAGCAAATTCAAGGCTCGCTCAACCTCATCACGGAACGACCTCTCTATCTTCTCTTCTTGTTGATCGGCTTGTCTGATTGCTCTCATCTCTCTGAGTTCAAGGATTCTCTTCCACTCTTCCAACTTCTCCAATTCGGCTTTCAACTTGTCCTCCTTTTCTTTCTGCAACTCCAAGACAATCCTGATATTTTTATCCATAATTTCACGGATGCTGTCAACTTCCCGCTTCCGTCTCTTATCACCAAGCATACCCACAACGGTCTTAGAGTTCTCGATAAGTCTTTGAATATCCTTTCCTGAGACTGGAATACGGTGCACCGCTGCGTGCCTAATTTCATCGGTACTTTTCAATGTTGAGATAAAAACCTCTACATCTCTCGCCCCCTTAGTGTTGATGGGGTCCTTTCGGAATTCGAATGCTATATTTCGAGCCCATTGGGTTATTTCACCTGCTTCAGGGCAGTCCCAATGTTTCCGAACAAGCAAGTTGGGGTAATGCTTTCGCGCAAAATCGTAATAGGCACATTCGAGAATGCTTTGTAGAGTGGTAAGAATCCGATGTTGTTGCTTGAAAGGCAAGGACGGAATTTCGGGGTCTGAAGGTAATGGTGGATCAACCACCGCTGGGGCAATTGATGAGGCTGGACTTCTACTTGCAGGGGTCGAGCTTCCTCCCCGAGAAAATATATCACTTGGTTTTTGCGCTGCGGCGTGCATTGTGGAAGGCTTTGGTCGGGCTTGAGAGGACTTTCCTGCCACAAACTCTGCGATAACAGGATCGACATTGGCAACTGTAAGGGCAGGGCTTGGTGTGGTTATCGAGACTTCTACTCCCCTATGCATGTCATCCTTAGCTTCAGCACCAACCGTTGTGGTTTTCGGCTTCTTGCCGTTTTGCAAACCGTCATCACTACCGGAACGATTATATTGCGATGAACCGCTAGCTGCTAAAGCATTGGAATCAAATTCGTTGGATTTGATGCGTTTTTCGTCACATTCCCGAACCAATGCTTGAGTCAAATCGCTCGCCAACATTTCGGTAAGTCGGATGCCCACTCTATCCTTTGTAATGCCTCGTGCAATGAACTCTCGTGGGATTGTGCTGATGAGGCGTTCTCGAATGATTTTCTTCCCGACGAAGCCCTTTGTTTTCTCGTTGAACGCATATTTGAGGGCTTGGGTTTTGATCCAGTTGTCCAAGAAATCGGCATTTTTGTGGGGTTCACTCATACTGATAAGAAAAGAATAGTTAAAGGGCCAACCGAGCGGAGAGTGTTGAATATCTTGTTTTTGCAATGCAGTGCGGTTTAAAAGATGGAATAATGCTTGATATCCCTTACGCTGTTCACGCTGCCAATTTTATCACGATCCTTGTCTTCTGGCTTGTCCCATAGGTTGCTGTATGCATGTGTGTAAATACCAACATTCTCCACGAAAGCGGAATCTCAGTACATCACAATGTATGGTTCGCCTCAAGTTTTTTTATTAGTGCCCTTTAAGTAGCTATTTTTTTTATAGGAATGAGCGGGATGCTAAGAGCGTTGCGCAGACTTCACCTCTAAGAATTATCAATATGGCTGACAAGCATGGGTTGCCTTGGGCCCTGAGGTAAGACAGGGATTGGTTCCCGCTCTAGCGCGCGGGAAGAAGCATGGGCTTATTGGATCATCAATCCGGTCTAACCCCATTTAAATACTCTATCGCGGGCAGGTTGTAGTTTTAACTTTTAGGTAGAGTACATCCTTCCCGCTGCTGCCTGAGTCGCCAAGACTCTGAGGGTTCCGTACGGAACACGGTGATTTTGAGTTATGGCATATCGGGTTAAGAGAGACCAAACCAGATTTTTTTGTGTGTTCCGCGTTTACCGCCGTAGAGCTAATTCGCAGATACGTTGGAACGTGTGTTCGATTCTGGACTAACCAGAGTTATGCTTCTTATTCCTAGATCGTTCAATTAAATTGGGGTTTGAAATATGTAAGGGGACCACCAAGGTGCCCAACGCACTTTCTCTCACTGATATCAAAAAAGTCCCCCGGAAGCCTAAAACAGGGCTCTGTTTTTGAGAAGAGATCCCCCACTCTGATATGGTATTCTCGCAAACGAATGGTTGAGAATGGGAAAGGTACTACTCGCGTACAGCATAAAGAACCAGAAAATGTAAGTGACGAAACAGGGATTATTTGTATGGAGTGGCGCTGATCTGCCATACAAAATACGGATTTGCATTTCCCCTACACGCGAGTATACAGTCAGGCACATGTAAGTTTATGCACGGGTTGCGTTGTTCAACACAAATACCCACCCATAGCTGCAGGCCACATCGCCGGTAGATATTGCTGTGCAATCTTCACAACCGCACCTAGGGATAAAGCTCATCGCAAGAATGACGTGCGTGAAGCAAGCTGTAACTTATGGGTGGGGGTAGATATCTGGTCGCTTATCTGATTTCGAGAGAATGGAGTAGCACTTCCAGAATAGATCCACGTCATGATTGATTGATACTGATAGAGAGTATTTACCAGGTGTCAAAACCGGCAATTTACACTTCGCCACATTAAAAGGTGGTTGCCGAAACAGTCAATTTTGACCTATTTCTCGAGGTGGGGATATAGGATACGCCTGGAGATGTTTTCTATACTGCGTATAGTTCACATCCTGCGAGCGTATTTTCCAGTAAGCGTGAAGAATTATTTATCTACAGAGTTTCTCCCATCATACCTTCCTTGTGTGAGTGAGGGGAACTGTCAATTTTGCCTCCCGCAACCGTCATTTTCAAAGTGTCAATTCTCGGATTTGACACTTAATAAATACTCTCTGATACTTGATGCTGTTATTTTGTTGGTCTAGTGCCGCCCATTCCAACCACATACATAAAGATAGCCTGCAGAACTGATTTGCTGGAACTAGCAATCCTATGACCAGCCAATGCAGTAGAGTAGGTACTGAAAACTATCAGAATATCCACATGTCAATCCTGTGACATTAAGTGTGAGTGATCGACTGCCTCATTAACCTGCAGTTGATCATACTCTCTGCTGTTGTCCTTTACTGTGGTGAAGGTAAACTGATAACCTACCCATAAGCTTGGCATGGATCAGGCACTTAACTTACAATCACTATGCTAGAATTATAATTGACAAGAGATATCAGATTGACGGTAAAAAGATCAATTTAAATTGGCTACAAAGCTTAAAGGTGCATGCACCTAGGACAAATTCACCATTCTGGTATCGACATCGGGACCATCATACCTGAATAAGTAAAGAAAAAATGAAAAGAGTAAGCCCGTTACATCATACGACCCGCATCAAGAACAGAAATAGCATGTGCCTTTGCCGAAAAGGAGTTTCTACCATTCTCTGATAGCACCGTCGGGGCCGTGGAACTCAAGGCATCTCCAGGCAGTTTTACACTCGGTAGAAACCTTCCTGATCAACGCTTCGTCAACCTCGATGCCCAAGCCTACGCCTGTAAGGCCCTTAACATATCCTTCATTGACTTCAAAAACAGATGTGTCTTTAAGGTAGCTGTTCAAGTCCCAGGTGCCAGCACCTGCGGGGGTCATCTTGTTGTAGTGAATGCCCAAAGACATCTCCTGTATGACAAAGTTGGGAGTAGCCATGGCAACTTGAATCGAGGCGGCCAAAGAAATTGGTCCTAAAGGGCAATGGGGAGCTACACCAACGTCGTAGGCCTCACACATGGCTGCAATACGACGAATCTCAGAGATTCCACCGCAGTGAGAGACATCAGGTTGAAGTATATCGATCGAGGATGACTCAAGGAATGGCTTAATATCCCATCTGTTGTAAAGACGCTCACCGAGAGCGATTGGGATGGTGGTCTGCTGAGAAAAGTGCTTGATGGCTTCGGGGTGCTCGGAAAGCAATGGCTCCTCAATGAAGAGCGGCTGATGGGGCTCTAAGAGCTTCGCAAGTTGTTTGGCCATCGGTTTGTGAATACGGCCATGAAAATCAAGACCAGCATCGAGACCAACAGCTTTAACAGCCTTCAAACGCTCAACAGAAGCGTTCAACGCGGATGGGGAGTCCAACCAGCCCAAGTCCTCGGTTGCGTTCATTTTGATAGTTGTGAATCCCTGAGCCTTGCGTTTCTTGCTAAAATCCAAAAATAACTTGGTTAGCTAGAAAGCTTCTAAAGTCATGTTTTCTTTTTTGGGAGGAAGAAGCAAAACTGAAATGGTTGGCATAGGAGATAGAAATCAAGGACTACTCACGCTTGCTCTTCGACGTCTCCAGGACGGTCCCCTCCAATCCAGGCATAGACTGCGACCTTGTTTCTCACCTTTCCTCCAAGGAGCGAGTAAATAGGGACGCCAAGCTTCCTGGCTGTATCAAGTGTCAGTCATGAGTGATCACTCTAACGGTAATTCTCCGATCGATTCATGCGGGTGCGTCGATCCGGGGATAACCCCACGCTCAGCCTCACCAAGTGTGACCCCCGCGTCTTTAATGAGATCGGCAAATCTAGCCAAGACTACGACAATGATGGAACAAACGTCGAACGTCGTTTTATATGGCGAAATTACAGAAAGTGTAAGAAATATTTTGTGGCATACCTTTCAAGTCCCATAAAGCAATGTCAATTCCAGAGATGGCAGACATGAAAACGGCACCACCACGATAAAATCCCAATCTCCAGGCGGTCTGCCAGATGTGCTCAATATCACTGTATAAGAAAACGTTAGATTAAAATTTATTCGTGTGCGGCGGTATAATTCGGCGAGCAGATTCTTATGCCATGATTTACGGGAGATAGCATGAAATGCTGGGCGCCCATGAACTATAATAAAAAAAGATTGCAAAGGAAAAAACATACTCCGCTTCATAGCCCACAAATCTCAAGATCAATTCGTCGAGGCTGCCTTCAATTGCTTCAGTGTGCCCTTCCAATGTCGACTCTCCCCAGCCGTAATGGCCGTCCTCACTGGTAATCTTAACGAATAACCAGCGGGGCAGAACACGAAAGTATTCAATAGAGGTGATTTTGGCCATATCTGTAAGTTGGGTTGTAATGGTATGAATAAGAAAGCGATTCTGGCAAGAATATAAAACTTGTAGTGTGGGTTTCGTGAATTGATGAGGGAGAAGACACAGAGAGAGAAGCCAAAGATATATAGATTTTGGGGGGAGTGCCAACACATAGTATGGAATTCCCCTAGAGAGATATTTTGGTTTTGGTTCAATTGCCAAGATTAAGTTGTTCGAGATTCCCCGTCTCGAATTGAGCAGGCTTACCAGGGTGGTGAATTCCAACGCAATAGACGCCTTTACTAATTCCCTGTTTTACTTTAACACGATCAATTGGAACGTCAAGAATGACATATCATAGATTTACTTCTCCGTTATCCGACTTTGGGCTATGCATGCAAGTACAACGATTGCAATCGATAGTAGCTCTAAAGCAGTCTCAATCAAAGCTTCTGCGGCGTCAATTGCGGAATACGCAATTCATTGAACCTTGTGTACAGCGGGCACTGGTGGTACCAGGAGATGACGATTTTTCATATGAGTTTTCGACATAAATGCAGTTGTATATTGGCTGTTTTGCTTTTGAAACGGTCCAAAAACAGTTGTTTGACATCGTGGATGTTGTGCAGTCTGAAATGTGGTGATGTCTCTTTTCTCTGCTCGAAAGTCCTTTGCCGTTATTACAGTTCTCCAATTATATGAGGGGAAGAGGTTCTTGGTTTCTTTTCAATCGCTGCCTTCTTTGTATTTCCTTTTTTTTCCCTCAAATCCCCGGAAGCCAGTGCTCTCTGCACCCACCTGTCTGGCGAACGTGCAGGGTGCAGAAGCTAAGCTGTGCGTCACATATGCGCCGGGGAAAAAAAAGAGAGCTCATTATCGATAATCAGATACCACAACACCCGAAGCGAATAGAAGAACCGCGCTTAAGCGGGATTGCAGGGATTTTAGTTCGAGAAGCACGCTGAACAGTAGCCAGATTTAACAGGTGCTAAAAGCATCAGGTATAGCTTCCCAAAGATAGTCTTAAGTTGAAAGCGATAGAATACGAGAACAACTCGGGAAGGCTATGCATAAAGGGAACATTATTTCCTGGCACTCGGACCGTATTGAGATACTCGGATACCTCTCGTTTGCCTACACGTTGTATCACCAGTTGTACCCACAGTAGCAAGCCACGGCTGAGGTTATAAGTGCGCATCAATATTATGTGGCAAAAATATCAAGAGAAATCAAGACAAAAACCATATAATTTCAGGTGCAAAGGATCAACTTTCACATAGAAAACAAGAGGTTTGAAATTATATGATTTTTTAAAGAAACCTCGGAGATAGCAATCAGGGCTACAGGAACAGGAAACTAATGCCAATACGAACATCAAATTCTCGGGAAATGGATGAAAAGAGACTGCAGGTGTTAAGAACGAGGCGGGGAGGGGAAGAAGAACTACCGGGTAATGTATTGGAAGTACATGGCCAATGATCTAAACGATTGGTGCCCCAAGGAAACAGAGATGTATCTGATGGAGAATGCGGACGCACGGCATGTTAGGATGTGGAAACAGCAAAGGATCGGGCAGTGAGTAGGATGAGAGAAGACGGTATAATACATGTAGGGATAGTTGTATGGATGTAAATGGTAAAATAGCTGCTGTCGTATATGTTGCGCAATTGACTAAGGGCCATAAAGATTATTAGAGGTTGATAGAGAAGGATGAGGAGACGTTCCGAGCAGTAGGGCTATCCGAGACAGCATGCTGATGCACACAATGCTTCAGAGAGTTGGTTTTACCAGGGACCCACGCAGGGCAGGGCAACTCTATCCACATGTAGGCGGTCTAACAGCAGCACCTGCGGTCCTGCAACTCTAGAGTATGTAGAGTCTCTAGTACATCAGGTTTCTCGACATGTGAGTTACTTGTGGTACACATTCTCCCGAGTAGTCTACAGAATAACACACTACTGCATCTCACTAAATTGTGCCACCAACGAATGCTCGAATTCAATTAGCCAAAGCCAATAGCCAGCCCTCTGTGGGGCCACCACAATTGATTGACTTCAGGAACAGCGAGTGATGTCGCAAATTCGAAATCCAGCGATCCGCAGACCAAGATTGGCACGATCGTTTTCTGTATGTAGCTGCACATACCTTACCCCCGCAAATGTATGCTAAAATGTGTATCTGGAAATCGGTGGTAGAGCTATCTTGATCCGCATTGCTCTTTAGAATAATCGTGAAAATGAACAAGGTAGATTGCATGGGAGTATTGGGGGAGAACCATGAAGAGGATGATCACGACTGTTGTTCATATCGTGACAACCCAGCCCCCGCTCATACCCCCCCCCCCCCTAAAATAGGAAGAGTAAACGTCCGTCTCGTCCTCTTATCTTCATATCAGGCCTGAACTCGGCTTCGTCCTCCCATTTGTTTATATCGCCCCTCGCAAAGAAAGAGAGGGTACCAAGTAAAGAAAGTTAGAGAACAAGAAAGAACCCGTACTCTGTGCTAGAGATCATCTCTACAGCTCTCCTTGGTTGAAACCGTCGCCCCCGTCGTGTTCTTTATCTACCTGCAGGATGGCGCCTCCAGAAAACTCACCATCCGTAAGAGCACCATAATTCATGCTCGGAATCTCATGTAGTGATCACTTTTCCTGGGAGCTGCGCTGACCCTAGTTTCCAGGGTTCTCCATCCATCTCCCCGTACCGTGCTCCCCTCTTGTCTGAAGATACCCCGGATAGTCTGCCGAACCGCATGTTCACCTCTACCATCGTTCCCTCACCCCTTCTGCAGTCCGTCGCCCAAGCTCCTCCAGTCATGGATAACGAGGAAAATCTTCGAATTAGAGCCAGAGGATTGCATGGTCAGTCACAGCTTCGACCACATCGGGCGTCTGTGGACCAGCTAGGTCCTGGCAGTAGTGATGACCGAATAAGAAGAGTGTCTGGTTCTGCACGCCTACGCCAGTCTCTGAGAGATAATGATCCCCGGCAGCTATCACTGACAGAACGATCATATGGGCCCCGAATACCTTTATGGAGACCCGGGCAGAGGCAGTCACTATATGATTGGGCTCCAGCTACACCGCCAGAGGATGAATATGAGAGTCGCTCGCTCCCACTCCCCCCCATGATTGATGGAGGAGAGCCACACGATGAGATGCTGAGAGATCTTTTGCGATACCGGGCCGACAGTCCGCCGCCTTCTGCAGTCCCCGGACCACTCACTCGGGCATACCGAAATCTCGATAATGATGTCCGAATGTATGAGACTTTGTTTGGTCCTCAAGTACTTTCACCGTTCAGAACTCTCACACAACCACAAAGGCAGAATTCACGTCTTCTATTGCGCTCACGGCCCCCGTGGCATGGCTGGAATTGGGATAGGGAACATGTGCGAGAACGAAGGGAGGACCTATCCCGCTCCCGCTCCGAGAGAGATGCTGAGGTAGTGCTCCGCTCTCGCCCGTTTAGGACTCGAGACGAAAATTACAGGGATCAAAGTACAGGCCCCTCGTCTTCCTACGAACTTGAGGAAGCTATTGGGTATCTGGCAAAACTTCGATTCAGTAACAGCAGTGATGAAAGTTTGTGTCTTGCCGTCAAAGCAGGCTTCTTCAGCCGTGGCGATGACTGGCTTGAGATTATTAGAGATAAATCCATGTATGACGATCTCTTACTGGACACCCAATTCATAAATGTTGCCGAAACCTCGTGGCTTAAAGTTGGTGGTGTATTTTGGGGCTCCCAAACAACCCCGATAATTTCTGCTGTACCCCCCTCACGTCCCACCATATCTTCGGATTCGTCTTCGGCATCTTTGCCATCGAATACAACTGCTGCCGCAATATCTTATCAAGATGATCCCCACAGGGAATCTGGTAGCGCATCATCGTATTATAGTAATAGTAGTCCACACCACTGGACAGTCAAAGTGATCATATCTAGCATAGATTACGCGCAGCTACGTCTGAGTAAGCAAATACCACTTTCCAAAAGGGAACGTTACTCTAATCTAACCATGGGACAATTATTTTCGTGATGATTACAGCTGGGACTATGGAAGCATTCACAGACTTTCAAACAACTGGTGCTGCAGCGAAGACAAGCATTACGACTTACCTAGAGGGTGAAATTATTGATTTCAAGACGCATAGTTTGCAAACCTTTAACTTTCCGAGTAGCATCAAGGATGATGCAGGCAACTGGAGAAAGTTAGAGCCATTCTGCCAATTAAGCAATGAAGAGCTCGTGAAGAGTTTGGTTTCTAAGCAGTTCATGAATAATCTCACAAATAATTGGGTGTTCATGAGGTGGAAAGGTGAGATATTTGAAACTCTTGGGCTCTCTTTCCTCCTTTTCTTTTTCCTTTATCTTTCCCATATCAAACATTTATCAAGATTTTATATGGCCGAGCTTACTATTCATGGCGCTGTCACCTGCAGAAAAATGTTTCATCTCGCCACAAACCTCTCCTGACGTTGGGGTACTTACAATAGGCGGTTTTTATTTCCTGTCGCTCCGCAGATCAAACGGACAGATACAAGGGTTTTACTACGATCCCAAAAGTCAGCCATATCAAGAGCTTAAACTTAGACCTCAAAAACGCTTGTTTCCTACTTACGAGTTCCGTTGATTATACCTGCTTTGCTCCATCAGAGCACTTATCACCGCTTCTTTTATATGTCCCATTATCAGTTGTCTCTTCAGGAATTTAACGAATTTCACTGTTAGAAGAAGCTTGGATTATCGTGGATGGCGTGTTCTGTCATGTATCAGTAACGCTACCCACCCACCCTCTTCCTCTCCCCACGACTATACTGGGTGGGCTGTACTATGTTTCTACCATTTTGAGTGTTTTTGTTCCCTTGCATTCCTTTTGCAGGTTGATGGTGGGGGTTTCCGGGCTGGAAGCAGGATTCGCTGGCGTTTTTTATTTCTTTTCTTTTCTTTTGGAATTTGATTTATCTTTTCCTTTCAGTTTATACAAAACGCCTTGCGCATTCGCCCATTGTTTACAAGGCATGTGTGTACAGTCTGATTGGACCCAATCCTCCTGATGCTTCAATATATGACGCAGTTATGCCCCAAGGTTGCCAACAAACAAACATGTAACTAGGCCTACGTAGTTGTCGGCTTGAGCCATCTCGAGCTCATAACTTGTGCTCTTACAAGCACAAGGTCAGGTTGACTCGAGCCAGCTTGTGATATGTTTTCCTAACTGTAGTCAGCTGTTCCTAGGCCTAATGGCCTGATTACACAATACGTCAATCATGTACCTAGGTTATATTTTCCCAAAAAGGTTGCTTGAGATTTAAAACTTCAACTCCAGGCTTGAGCTTTTGATGATGCGGATAGGGCCAATGATCCCACGAGACAACCTGCCAAAAGCAAAGCACAGGCCGACTGGTTGGCCTACTGGCATAAAGGTGCCTAAAAATAAAAGGCCAGTGATTGTCTTCTTTGGGTAGAGTACATGTACGTATGTTATGCCGTTACGCCGCACTCATGTCAAGACCACATCCAAATCTGGTCCGCAGCTAGATAGAGAACTCTAGAATAGAATAATTCGTCATTGGGGAAAAACTGCACTCCGCTGTCACTGGCACGCCACCCACCTCGCAAAATAAACTATGTAGCTACAGGTCAAAAAGGTCCCCCCGCTTTGTGGGGTTGGTTTCATGGGGTACAATCTCAAGAGTCAAATAACCACTCATAATGAGAATTACGCAAATTGGTGTTTGAGCGCATTGATTATGTACATAAAGTAGATACAGTGTAGAGAGTGTGTTTGCCCGTTGCATGCATACATGTATATGTATAGGATCAGATAAAGGTTCGGAAACCCCTGGATTGCATATACAGATAAGATTTAACTTTGCCTGGTGTTACTGTAGAGTAGACATGGTACTGATTGTACTCTACATTGTAATACAATCTGTATTTGCCGTGCGTGATACAGACAACCGTACTTTCCTTATTTTCTTTTGTTCTTCTGGGGTCGTGATGTTTGTTTCCTAGCCGGGGAGAGGTATTTTTATGCCATAGTCTATGACTGCATGCAGAGTTTTGTACCTAGAAACAATTAAAGCTACATGATATAAAAAAAAAAAAAAAAAAAAAAAGATACAGACAACCGTTGATGTTGATCTTGCCGGAGTCGCCTGGTTCGTACTCCATGTAGTATTCCCATGTCGAGCAGTAGCCTGCCAGTAGGCTTGGAGGTGCGAGTGCGACTTGGCGACAACGACAACTACAACAGCCGATTGGCCTGCTGCTTGGTATTGGAACACGAGGCTCTGAATCCATCTGAAGCTCTACTTCCACTCATTCACGGTCGTTAGTCATTAGGTACGTATATTCCATCCAACGAAGCTTCACTGTTTCTCTATAGTTAAGTCACAGACTAACCAGCTAGTTAGAGATGGGCAACCTCTGCGGCAAAGAAACGAGTACCTCCACAGCTCCCCCAGGCCGTGTACTGGGCTCCGCACCGGCTACTTTGTCCAGTACAAATGCACACACGCCCGCCGCAGCGTCGAGGCCAAAGAACCCACGCAAACCGAAAGTAACGGGACCAGGCAGAACACTGGGGGATGCTAGTGTAAATAGCGAGCAGTCGTCGGGCTCAGCAGCTTCTCCCCCACCGGATGCTAGGACGGCGGCGGCATTAGCCGCAGAGGTATGATATGATACCATGCGCAGTACCAGGTACTGAAACTAACGTTTTATAGAAACGGCTTAATGATACGCAGAAGGGCGGTAAGCTTGGCGCGCAACTGGATCAGGTGAAGAGGAAGACGCAGAATCAACATATACAGGACCTGGCAAAATCCAAGGGTGAACAGGAACGGTTGGTTTGGGACTGAAGTGCTGTGCTTCTTGATCGCTGATTGCTCTTTATTGTTCCCGGACGTTGGGTTGCTCTGTATTCTGTATTTTTACTCCTGCTTTCTGCTGGCATTTGTGTATTTGGGGGGGGGGGGGGGGGGCGTGTAATGCGTAGAGCGGTGTTTTCGATTAAGTTTTGATGCTGGAATTAAATTATTTTCACTCCCATGTGCGCAGCTGGTTGCTGTTGTATGTCACGTAATCCCCAGTACATGCAGGTGAGTGTTTATGTTTGCTCTGCGGTGACTCGGGCAGCCACGATCGTTACCTTAGAGCTTATCAAGTGGAGTTTTTGAAACCTCTACACTCTATGTCTATCAACTGTGCCCTCCACTCCCTTGCTTTTAAAACCTTTTAGCCTCCCAACCCAACCTTTTTCTTTCCCTGTGTTGTTTTTATGTGGTGTCAGCCAGACTCCAAGGCTTGAAATATATACAATTGCAATGTCCCAACATCCCACTTTTGACCCTATGTTGATCTTTCATCGTAAAATGCCTTTTCCGTCCCTTGTACTGCGTGTGATCCGAGACTCAAGTGACTTCACCAACGACATGGTGCCCTTCATAAACTCTGCAAACGACGAATCCGGAACTCCTGTAGGTGTCCGCGAAATCTCCGTTTCCGCCTCCTCTGCCTCTGCCTGGTCATCCAGCTGCGCTACCTCTGCTGCTAGGTCAACCTCATTACTTTCTGGTACTACCTCCTCATTAGAACCAATTTCGTCCTCTTCCCATTTTGCCTTTTCGGCCACTAGCTCCTTGATCTCAACCTCTCGCTTCATATTCTTCTCTACTTCTTCTTGTGTCTGTAGAATCTCATCATTTGTCTTGACTTCCAGAACTCCTTCGGTCTCAGAAGGACCATTGCAGATCAGCTTCACCTCTGTCCTCTTTCCACCACTTGCCCCGCCCTCAATGACGGTGTGCCTCAGCTGCAGTCCATGCCAGTCGAAGTTTAGCTCTCTTCTAAATTCCATGCCCACGAATAGATAATCCACATCTGTAGTTGGTAGATCGGGAACATGCTGCATCATCCATTGTGGCACCGATGCCTTAAGCGTCGGGACCACACGCAGCTTCGATTTCCCGCTCAGGTCCAGGTTGCTGTTCTCTTTGAAACGTTTCATCTCCTCAACGGTGACACCGCCGACGGTTTGTTCATCCCCTGTACCCATTGCCAGTGGGACATCCACACGGCGAAGGAAGCGGAGGTCACATTGTCGGTTCGGCATGAGCATGTCTGCTACCGATTCTGAGTGACGGGCGATTAGTGTAGGTTGCAAGATATTGCCAGTATATCTATCGATTGGGAGCGTCAGTTCAAGGATGGGGTACTGATCAAATGTCGTTGGAAGTGACCAGGGCGACGCCGCGAATCGGACTGAGAAGGAGTAGGCAATATCCTCATCTAAGAGTTTTGCCGAGTCGTCTATGTAGGCGAGCTTCAGGTCCTTTCTGCTTACGGGTGCTTGTGCGATGAAGGAGACACCTGGAAACTCGTTGGAGAGAACGCGGGGGCGCTCGTCCTTAATGAATTCCTCGAGGGTCTGGGGGGATTGTGGTACGGAGTTTCCTTCTGAATCGTGGAGAATGCAGCCTAGAATTGCCTGGTATTCTGCTGGTTGACGCTCACCGACTGCGACTTCCGCAATGGGGCTTTGATCGAGGATCTGCCGGATATTTTCGAGTTGGCCTAAGCTCCGCTCTCCCTTCATCTTGATGTTGCCCTGCTCCGCCTCATCGGGCTTAGGCTCCACCTCCTGTGCGGCCGGGTTTGGCTTGTTCCTAACGATTCTCCAGCGGGCCCAATCTCGGCCTCTGAATACCCATGGTAATGAAGGATCCTCTGAAAATTTATACAGAGCGCCCTTGGGGCTCTCTTGGTCGCTAGGGGAATTGTACAGTAGGGAGTAGATTGACCGGACCTGCATGTTTAGAGCAGAGTAGAGTAGTCGGCGCGCATCATCAATTGCATGCCTTTCGGGCCCGAGTGCCATAACCCGTATCTTATTTTATGATTAGTACACCAAGCTGCATAGAGCTAAGGGGGGGGTACCATACGGTGGTTTCGTCGACTTTCTCGATAAAAGTATTAGTAAGTCTCGCAATTGGCGTAACGAGGTCCTCTGTAAAGTTGCCATATCTTAACGTCCATGAGAGGTCGATATCTTCGGTAATGATCGTCTTGAGCATCTCGTCCATGGCGAACGACAGGCGCTCAATGTTGGCCAGTGAACCGCGGAACTGTATTGTTGACTTCGCAACATTGACCGTGATCCTGGTCATGAACTTCTGGGCCCAGGTCCTGAGAACATGTCCATCTATATATTTCCACGCACCATCATATTAGCGAACCTCAAAATGCCATACCATCCATCCCACGTCCCCATCTCAAAACAAAAAAGCATCAAAAAAGTAACCAGCGCCGTACCTTCCCCGACCATGAAGAACAGGTCCCTCCTCCTGCTCGTAATCTCCCTGGTGATGAGCACGTCCTCCCTCTCCGCAATCTCATCAGTCACTTCAATGTCCCACAGATTCCTCAAAATCGTGTTGAGCACCTGCGACTTCTTCGCCGTCTTGCGTAGCGGTATAATCACCTTCTCCGGAGTTCTGCTCACAAACTCGCTGTAGTACTCCCACAACTGCGACCGCAGGAACGCATTGTCAAGCTCCTCAACCATCTGGTTGTACCGCTCGCGCGACACACGCAGTGTGTCGGGCCTGTACAGCGAGATCTCCATCTGCGTTGCGTCGAGCACACCACCAGGGTGCTCAAACGTGAGGAGATTGCGCGCGCCGCTCTCGAGATTGCTGTCATCGAGGACTTCGGCCTTGCGCGGGCGGTTGAGCGGTTTCCAGGGCGCGGGCGGCGTCAGTACGATCAATTCTCGTGGGGCAGCGTCATGACGAGGGGTGGTTGTCATGAGGGTGCTGGCCCGTGGGGTGTTAGTTAGGCGCAGGAGCGACCGGGGAAGGAGCTTCGGACGCGGGAGAGAGTAGCGGAATTGGCAGCGGAGGCATATTGCAAGTGATATCGAGGGTGGGCGTGGCATTGGAGGTCGTGGGAGTATCTCTGGATGGGAGCTGGTGGTTTTGGGGGGGAGAAACGGACGTGCAACGAGGGAAAATTTGAGCCGCCTGGCTTGGCCGCGAGACCATCACGTGAGGTGGTGGGGTGGTGGGGTCGAGTGATGGGATGTGATGGAGTGATAGCTGGTGTAGATGTGCGCGTTTCGTGATTTTACGAGCCTGCGAGCGTTATGGGCTATGAGGAACAATATTGAAGTGGTATCTGACAGTCATAATACTTCATCTTCTAGACCTACAGATATGTCTCTCCCCATCTGTAATCACCTACTCTGCAAAATCCGAATCTAAAACTAGCTTGTCTCTGAAAAGACATGTCAATGAACCCTAAATATCGACAAGTCTCACATCTCCTAATATTCCGAATACACCTCTTCGCCCACTACTATCTCCGTACCTATCGTTCAACACCTCAGCCACCCAAATCTCCCTTCCTTCTCTCTCTTCACCGTCTCTCCGTAATTTTACGCTTCCAGGTTCCACGCTAATATCTTGGGGCTGATTGAATAGTAAAATCGACAAATCTACACATTCTGTATAGACTGGTCCCAGTGCAGGTTTAACCCCGGTATAAAAATGAAATATACTCGGTGGTAGCTCATGACTGCGGACATAAACGTCCTCATCATATGGGGCAGAGGTTACATCGTTCAGCAGCAAAAGACACGTCTTGGTGGCATTCGCGAGTAGGCTGAACGCGCGGGAGAGGTCCACAAGTAACGCTGCAGCTAAAGGATAGTTAGTGGAGTGCTATGGATAATAGGGACTAATTGCAAATATTGGACCTACCCTCAGGTCTCTCGGACTGGTGCCAATTATCCTCTCCTCCATAAGCATCCCTCTGATAGCCGCGGAGGTTGATGCGAGGCGTAAATTTTAGGTCTGGAAGGAGGTGGGTGATTGTATCGACTACTATTACTCCTATTGTTTGTTGAGGCCTCGATGGTTTTTCTTCTTCCTTCACTACCGCTTTTTGCAGTTTGACCTCTTCCTCTTTCCTCTGATCTTCGTCATCGTCCCAATCTTCTTCTTCTTCTTCTTCTTCTTCTTCTTCTTCTTCTTCCTGGCTGTCTTGAATGACTTTTTCTTCCAACTCTTGTCGGGGAAGTCCATCGTTATCGTTGTTACCCTGGCTATCATCGACTACCCTGTCTACTTCACTCACCCGCATCTCTGCCTCTGTCATCTCTACTCCTGCCTTGGCTTCGCCCTCTATCTCACTCTTGACTTCCTCTAGCACTTTGAATAGTTCATGTATATCCACGACCCTATAGATCGTTACGCGGTCCAACACACTGCCCATCGTTATTTCTTTTCCGGTTTCCCCTGCATCCTCTAGTTTACCCGCAATAACCTCTCCCAACTTTGCAGCAGAGAACAAACCCTCAGTATCCACCCACACAGCGTGTGCATGTGGCCTTTCAAACAAATGTGAAGCTACTGTATGCATTGCGAGTAATGTCCGCTCTACGTTGTGGGCGCTGGAGAGCGAGGTTATGCGCCGATATGGGAAGCCACCACGGAGGGCGATATCAAGCGCAGTGCATGATGTTGCGAGGAGCGGTTCTTCAAAGTGCTTTGGTGGATGAGAGTGCATTGAATATCCATCATCTATAGGCGAGAGGCTCGGCGAGTCGGGAGGGGTGGGTACTGTGAGGAGAGATGTTGCAATGATCGGAGATGCCGGTTTGATGCTCCCCCGATTGGTATACTGACTTGATTCAGGCTATTATGAGCTTCACACTCTGAAAATATCTGGTATCTGGGTGACGTAAGATACGTACTTGTCTATCTCTAGACCATCCAGCGGTTCTTGGAGTTCGTTGGCTGCTTGTGGCATACTTTGATATTATCATCACAGAGCATCAGCACGATTCCACGTTCACGAGCCAGCCAACCCCCACTCATCTTGTAGACATATTTGGAAAGACGTCTCGTATCCCAGTAATCAGAGCTTGTTTCGTGCCTCGTGGCAAGGATGCCTAAGTGCACATGCACGATTGACGTGAGCCGAGATGCCAAGCGATGTTGTTTGCTTTATGTACCCATGTTCCGGATTCCGTGGGCAGCTGTGAGAGGCGAGTGATCTGGTGGTGATTCCGACCGACCGGACATTCTCATCTCCTTTTTACTCTGCCTACTGGTCATCTGCGAATAACCGGTGTTATGGCAACGCGTAATAAATATATTGCATCCTAATAACAATCTCTATTCCTACCCTCAGATCCAGCGCAGTAAAATTGGCTGCTCTAAATATATCCACATAGGTATTAACGCCCCGATCTGAGCGTGTCCGACCACCGTAGCCACCACTCAAATGGGTACCATCGTTACTCTACTAATAACCGGCTATTTATGTACCACTAACTGCTCTAAGTAGAGTCTCTAGAGTACTAGCACCTACTGCTCCACTGCCTGCAGCACCTGCGATCACTCGACTCAACATCAGACGATAGCGGGGCTCGGAGCTATCCCTCATCCGAAGAAAATCCTCCTCAAGAAAGGGAAGCAAATGTAGGTGGCGAATCCCGTCTCGGTAGCAGGGTTACATACGTCAGAGCCTCATAGTACCCGGGCTCTCAGATCCGGGAAATGCGCTTGGTTTGAGGTTTTGAACATGAACCCCTCTGTAGGTATGTGTGTATCTTAGACATAGATGGCATGTAGATATCAATATAGGACAGCTCTCGGTCGGTGGTGGATTTTTAAATAGATCACACGAGAGTACTCTAGGTAAGGGTAAGTGGGAGAGTGACTTTCAGTAAGTCATTGGTGAGACAGAGAAACTCCCTTCCTGTGCTCGTGCGTCGAGAATTGTTGCCATCTGCAAAAAAAAAAAAAAATTTACCCTAAAAACGCCTCCCCGCATCAGGGAGGGACATACATAAAAGACCCTTTTCCCTTTGTCCACCCCCCTTTGTCCACCCCCCTTTGAACCCTTAAACTAGACACGTTGAGTTCTTGCCTTGCTTCGACTCCTAGTTACCAAAAACTCTACTGTTATCATGACAATACTTGCTGCGACAACAGCTTCATCCTCGGGGAAGCAGCTAAACGGCCACGCCAGCGAGATTAGGCCAAGGCCACCATTTAACCACCTCCCTACACCCTCAGAGGGGAATGGACATCTAAAGGCGGCTCGAGTCGAGAGCGATAACACGTCCGCCATCTCCAGGTTAGCTTGCCTTAGCCTGCCTGCAAGTCTAGATATCAAGATGAGGCCGTTTCTCACATGAATGATTGATGAATACAGTGGCCGTAGCACACCCGTCCCCGAAGATGCACCTCCATCCGCCCACTCAATTCAACATGCCCGCCGCGAGAAGCGGCGACGAATGTTCCCGACGGTCGCCTACGAGTCGCGCGTATCTCATTTCGACCCGCAGAGCCAATATCACGACTTTAGGGGCTTCTTTGCCCTGTTTTGGATCGGTATATTCATCATGGTCTTAAATACTGCGTTGCGGAATTATAGAGACACAGGAAAGGTCTTAAGGACAAGTATATTCAGCTTGTTTTATGCGGCGCCGGCAGAGCTGGCGTTCGCTGATTTGGCGATGGCGTGTAGCACGGTTATCTGTTTGCCATTGCAGAAGATGTTTGCCAGGAACCTTGTTAGTTGGGAGAAGGAGGGACATCTATTACAGCATTTGATACAGAGTATTTGGTTAGGCATCTGGGTGTATTTGCCGTTTTATCTCCAGTGGCAGTGGTGAGTTCAGTCCCGGAGGGGGGAAGGGGGGGTGATGCTAAGGGCGACGCAACTCATGACGGATACGATAGGACTCATCAAGTGTTTTTTACACTCCATGCTCTTACTTTACTCATGAAGGTACCTTTATCTTCCTCCTCTTAGGTCAATGGCATTAGCTCATCTTTCCAGATTCACTCTTATTCGTTCTACTGCGGCCATCTTTCGGATTGCCACAAACAGCTCAAGTCCCTCGACTCCAACAATACAACAGTTGAATCGGAGGCCGATGCCGAGCTCCGCGAAAAGCTAGCCTTCGAACTTACTTGCCCTGAAGGAAAGGTCACATACCCGCAAAATCTAACTCTCCCCAACTTCCTGGACTACCTCCTCTGTCCAACGCTCTGCTACGAGATGAGCTATCCCCGAGTAGACCATATCCGCTGGGCAAAGGTAGTAGAAAAGGCCGCTGCTGTCTTTGGCTGCGTCTTTGTCCTTACCGTAACCTCTGAAGAATTCATCCTCCCTGTCATGACTGAAGCGGCCCTCCGCCTCGAGAGCGTCCAGTCCTGGGCCGAGATTGGGCTCGTCTTACTCGAGAGTATCAGCCTCCTTCTGTTCCCGTACATGATCACCTTCCTCCTCGTTTTCCTCGTCATCTTCGAGTATGTACTTGGTGCATTTGCGGAGATCACATGCTTCGCTGACCGCCACTTCTATGCCGACTGGTGGAACTCGACGAACTGGCTTGAATTCTCAAGGGAATGGAATATTCCGGTGCACAGGTTCCTGCAACGCCATGTGTATGGTGCATCACGGAGACATACGTCGAGAAGTGTGGCCACGCTAGTTACGTTCCTGATCAGTGCAGCGGCACATGAACTGGTGCTATTCTGTATTACGAAAAAGTTGAGGGGGTATGGATTTGTGTGCCAGATGCTGCAGTTGCCGATTATCGCGGTTCAGAGGACGAAGTTCATGCAGAGTTGGCATACGCTGAATAATATAATGTTTTGGTGTAGTATGATTTGGGGACTTGCTATGGTAAGTAACCCATCCATTATGCTTGCTCGTTTGGACTTTGAGAACTTTACTAACTGCAAGATATAGATCAGTGCACTGTATGTTCTTATTTAAAACCCATTATCCAGTTAGGAGAATGGTATCGGGTTTTATTTATTTTGTATATCTGAGTTAGGAGGCTAGTTAGATATAGGGGTATTTTAGATACGTAGATTTCACTGGCGTCCTTTTTGTTTTATCGTTGTGTATGTTTTATCGCGAAGGCGTTTTTCTTTTCTTTCTTTTTTCTTGCATGAGTATTACTGGTAAGTAGCTACTCCAAATTTGTTTCAGCAAGGCGGCGAAGAGCAAAATATCCTGTTTCTGTATTTTTAGGACATATTTATGTTGATTCTTTTGACTATGTACCCCATGGGTCCTCATTGTGCTTTGAAAAACTCTAGCTCTTTATTATGGGAATGCAAAGCTGCAGACACACGCTGTTGCCACCATTCTTGCAGTTCCCATACAGTCTAATCTCGCTATAAGGGTAACATCTATAAGGGTAATCGTCCTATAAGGGTACGGTTTTGTGGTCCAAAAAATTTGTATGCAAAAATAAGGGTAAATGACCAAATACTTGCTATAAGAATATTCTTAGACAATTGGGGGTTTTTTTTTGTGCGTACCCTTATAAAAAAGGTAAGGTTAGGGTCAAATTTAGGTGTTTGTGAAACAAACCACCTAAAACAGTGATGTCTTCTCTCTTTACCCCCATTTCCGACACACGCCAGCCAAATAACCCTAACCCTAATTTCTATAAGGGTATGCTCTCTATAAGGGTAAGCTGCAGCCCGATTTTCCGAAATTCCCATACCCTTCTAGCGAGATTCGACTGTAATGGGGTAGTGGCACGCTCTGTTCTTTTTATTGCCAGGGTCCTAGAAACGAGGAGCTTATGTACGTATAGCAACTGAACGTTAGAAGCTGGAAGGCACACCGTATGTATATTGTCGAGTGAAAACTACTCCACAGCCCAGAGAGCACCTGATTACATACTTACTCTAGACATGATCTCGATCTCGAATCGATTGTAACCAAAGCGATGACGAAGGAAATAACATACTTTCCGTTATAAAAACGGAATGAACATCCAAAATGGTATTCAATAAAGCAATCAATCGTCCAATGGAATCAGTATTGCATCTCGGCACACGAGCAATGAAGTAATCAATCACGCAAGCATTGCACCTCGGAAGGAACGTCACCGAGTGATATTTTATGACCCATTATTTGATCTCGTATAACTCGAGTACCAACTAAATTAAAATAGACAATAAGAATTCGCATCAAAACAGAAAGAGAGCAAGGAGAAACAGGTTTTGTAGGCCGGGCCGAGGCAAGTGATATCCCATTAACCAATTTTGTCTGATCACCTAAAAGAATCCTCTGCGATATTTAGCGTGCAATTAATTCTCAAGGGAATGCAGATCCAATTCAATAGTGTTGCAATTGATTATAAAAATAACCACTGACCTATACAAAGGTGCAAGCACAGCAGACGATTGACTAGAGGAAACCAAGTTTTTCGGGTTATATCCCTGTACACTAATATAGAGTAATAGGCTACATGTACTGGAGCGGGAGACCCCGCATTATGGCGCAAAAAGATATGATACCTGTCCTAGATCCAGCCAATCGATGACAAAGCGTAAGTCAAAGTGGAGGCTCTTGAAATTGACTTTTTATTCAACTTTTCCCCAATACCCTTAAAACTCAAGATTTCCACCCTAAAGAAAAAAAGAAAGAAACAACCAAAGAATTGAATTTTCACAAAAAAAAAGAAAATTGATTTCATCTTGGTATGCTATTGATTCATACTAATATGTTCCGACCTTTTGCAGGACAGTTTAGTGGGGTGAGCCTAAGCTCCCAAGCTTGGGAAAGCACTGGTATCGTCAAGGTTAGGGGTTCCAGTGCTGCTCTTTCCACCACGGTAGTCACCGCGACGGTCACCGTCACGGTCACCACGGGTGCCTCTATCGCCACGACCACGACCGCCCCTATCACCACCGCGTCCACGGCCACCACGAGCTCCACCACGTCCGGCTTCCCTGGGCTCGACATAACGAGGCTCGATGTCGAGAATCTGCTTAGTCTTGCGCTCCCGGTTCCTTGTCTTGTCCCTGGATTCGCCAACGAAGTAGGCACCCTCCTCGCGAGAAAACTCCTTCGCGGCAGCCCACTTTTTGTCGTTACCACCCTCGTTGGGACGGCGAACTTCGGTAGGGGGGCCAAGGTCGGCTTGACGCTGAGCAAGCTCCGCAAGGTACTCGTCATAGGTCTTGTGAACCTCTTCGGGCTCTTCAGGGACCTCAGCAGTAGCCCCACCCTCGGCAGCGGCGGGATCCTCGGAGGCGGGGACAGCGTTGGGGTCGGCGGAATCGGCACCAGCAGCATCCTTCTGGGCAAGTTCAGCACCAGCAAGCTCGTCATCCCATTCCTTTTCGCCCTTGTTGGCACCCCATCCCTGGCCTACTTGCTTCTCGGTGTCACTGCGAATCAAGAAGTCGAGGTCAATGACTGTAAAAGCATAATTTGGAAAATCTCCAGAGAACATACACTCTACCGGTCTGGCTGTGACGATCATACTGGCGACGTCCACCACGTCCACGGGCACCGCCCTGGGGAGCGGTGTTGTCCTCATCAGTGTTCTTGGCGAGATTGTTCTGGCGTCCAGCCTCACGATCACGGAATGCTTAAGTAAAACCAGGATGTTAGAATTATGAAGCTATGGTAAGAAGTGACCAAATAAGATAAAGAATGCCTCTAGATGGAATCAATTCCTGGTGGGATCGTACTAACCTCCGTCGTTTCCACCACGGCCTCTCTTGTAGCCACCAGCTCTGGAGCCACTGACCGCGGGAGCCACAGCCGGGGCAGGCTTCTCATCTCTTTTCTTAGAGGTAGTGGTGTTCTTGATCACCTGCCTTGGAGCAGGTGGAGGTGGAGCATCGGGATCCTCGATGTCGTTTCCTGTAGTTCAAAGTAGGGGAATAAGCAAATATAATAATAAAAACGTAGAGAAGCGGGGTAGTTTCGGGCAATGTCAAAAAAGTTTATTCTTCGCCTTAGAAGTTTACAGAGAGTGGGAGGGGGTATGGAGATGCGTAGTAATGAGACATACCAAGGAGGTCGTACGGGTTCTTTGACAAAATGGCAAGGTTAGTTGCGATGAATAGCACAAAAAAAAATCAATGGAAGAGAAGGCGAACCTGAGAAGCAACGGAGGCAGACATGGTGCCTGCTTTCTCCTTCTGTCTTTAGAAGACGGACTGATTGGAGATTTCGATGGGGATAGTTGAAGTTTGTGGGTTCACTCAAGGAGTGAGAGAAAAGCAGATGGAAGAAGAGAGAGAGGTTGGAGGAGGGGAAATAATTTTCTGGGTGGGGGGGCAGAAACAATCGGTGACGACGCTGCAAGTTGAAGGCCACAGAAACTTTTGGCGGGGGAAGTGACAAACCAATCAGGGTCAGTAAACCTGCGCAATTCAATTTTTTGGTAGGCAATTTAGGCCTAAAAGAGGTTTTGCTTGCAATTTCGCTCCAAACTCAATCCTGTTGATCTGTTTTTTCTGGTAAAAAATCTAATTACTAGTGTTCGTGAAAACAGCTTTCGTCATAGGAGACTGCTGTTGCGAGGGGTTAGCCCTACACCCCTCCTACAATTTATCACCAACCAACACGCAGTATCAAGGATCTGATAAGATTGACTTCTGTACTACGTGCACAAAATCACGTGACGTGACTTCACGAACATTATCTATAACTTTTGCTGACTTCGGAGGTAATTGATATATTAAAGGAGTTGATGAGGAATTGCTATCTAACAAAAATATATATCTCCGCATTACTACATTTAACTGGACTTCGATCAAAATTCGATGCTGAGGTTACCCGTAGGTACACGCTGCAACAACCTCGAGACCCTAAATATTTGCCGTTTACTGACGGGAGTGCTAGGCACTTTTAATTGAGAACAAAGGGGTCGGGAACAAATCTAAAGTGCAAATTAGGGGGAAATAGAGCGCACGTTTTGATTGGTACCCTAACGTGTGGGTACTGTATGTACCTCATAGTACCTACATTAATAGAGGTAAAATTCAAAGAATGAGATGAGCTCAGCAACAATCATGTTAAGAGGTTATTAACCCCAGTTCTGGATACACCTCACTATCATGCAGGTTATAGTAGTATTTCTTCCAGGCCTGGTCACTGAGCACTGCAGTACCTATTCTACATGTGTGCCGATACCTGAATGTGCACCTATATTAACCCACAAGTCATATTTCTTGCGAGTAGATGGTCCTGGGGCAATGCACTCGGACCAGATCGCACTGGACATTGGTTCCGAATGATGAAATTCTGCGCCACCTTTTTGCGGGGGAATCACTTTTCAGCCGGTGGTCTTTTGAGCTTTGTATTGGTTCTCGGCGGATTGGTGGAACGACAACAACTGTTTGCCTGGCTGTGAGATCCCACGAGGACAGGTACATATGTACAATTAGTTAGTCTTGTGTGAGGCACTATGCCGAAAAGCTCCATGATGATCTCTTCGACCGCCTTTTTGTGAACCGTCATGGAAGGAGGGAGCATAGCAACTGAAGAATAGAGCTTAGTCTCTTGCGCACAGTGCACGGGTAACACCCCTGACATCTAAGGGTGTTGGGGTTCGCGAACAAAAGAGACATACCGTCACATACCTCCGAATTGAATGGAGAGAAGAGGGGAGTAGAGTAGAGTTTGTATTTTTGTTACCAGCCATAAAGTACAGCACTCTCCCCCTTTCCATTTGTTCCTCGATCCACGTATTTGTATATTTGTTGTCAAAACGGGCGTTTAATAGACCCTGATCAATTCCTGTTAGTTCTTTAGCTTGTCAAATTCAACCAGGAACGAGAGTGTGTGCTGCAGGGGAGGAATAATACTACATGTAGTACTGGCTACTACCTGTATAGCAGGTAGCTCATCATATCTCTCAAGGTCTTCAGAACGCCTGTGGAGAAGCGGAGCGTAGTAGGCCTGTTCACTCTCTCTTTCGCTGAAACCTCGGTAGCTCCCCTCAATTTGCGCTTCAACTAGCAACGGTAAGGGCCGGACAATCCCAAGCAACCTATTTCGTTTTTCATTTTTCTGGGCAGGGTCTGTCAGGTGCCCTTGAAACCGTTCCCCTTTCCCTCCCCCTCTTAACCCAAGCAAGTACTCCACTACAGACAATACAACAGTCCTTGGATCACCACCATCTCCATCTTGCAAGTCGAAGTGCGAAGTGAGAGAAAGCTACCTAGGAAGCTGATCCTGGTGAGGCAAAAAAGCAAGAAGATTGTACACACAGTTTAAACAGACTCAGGGCAAGCAGGCGAACAAAATTTGTTGAGGCCAGACCGAGATCATCATTAACATTCAATACTTAATAATAACATCTGTCTATTGGAAAGGAAAGGAGGCAATCCAACCGCCACAGCACACCCTTTCCACAATCCCTCATCCTACCTATTATTCATTTATCAATCAGGTGTCCCACCCCTCGCTGCTTTCTCTCCACCCATCACAACCTCCCACCCTTTCTCAACCTACCCCCCCATCTCTCCCTTCGCCCAACCCCCGTCCGGCTGTTCGACATTCTCTGGGTCCCTTCACCCTCGTCATAGTTCCTCTGTATCCAACAGCCAACCGCCGTCCTTGTTTCTTCTTCTCTTACTGCTACAGTTACTGCTACCGTTTCCATTACCGCTGCTCCTCTACCTACCGTTGCCGCGTCCCATCCCTCCAACCTCCTGCGCGACTCCACTGAAATCAATAAAGCAATCAATATCTTAGAGATCGACCAATCTTTCGCCATCCCGATCGTGCTCCCCTTCTCATCCGACAGCTTTCCCAATCCTAACATGTCGCTCGTACAGCCCCCTGTCCCAGGTTCGTTATCTATTCTTTCCTGAATCCTGTTATTTTCTGCCGCACTATCAAGAATCATAGAGTTCTATACGTAACCCTTGGCCCACCATCCCCCCTCTCCGTAAAGGGCCGTGTGCTGACCGATGGTCTCCCATCTTTTGTTTAAAACGTCGATAGAGCGCCGCCCCTCTATGAACATGGAGCTAGGGACCAACAACCCATTTCGCCAAAGACTTTCAACCCCCTCCTCTCCCGGTGTTACAGACCCTTTCTCTTTCGGTCCATCTGCTGGCAGGCCACAGTCTAGAAACCCTTTTCTTGACGTATTTGACGACGATAACGATCTTGATCCATTCCCAACTGACCGACCTGGCGCTCATAAATCTAATTCATTTGACGCAACTTCCGCTACAAGACCTCAGCTTTCCCCACAGCTTCTAGGCGCTGCAGCAGAGCTTTTTGTATATGCACCCGACCCTTCCGGTTGATAGTAATTGCGAGAACAGACTACTAATACTCTAGATACAGGAGAATCTTACTATTACAGATCACTCCCAAGATCCTTTCCAAAATATGGACCAAGCCAGGAACAGGATGCCCCCACCCCGTGGTCATCAGTCAAACGGCTCAAGGTCCCGACCGCCACCACCACCGCCATACGAACACCATCATTCGCGATCTTCTGATGATAACTCACAATTGATCTCGATCGATACATTCTCCTCAAACAGTGGGCAACAGAGACAACAGCCCCGTCGCCCCCCACCAAGCGGTCGTCCTTCAAATGGGGATAGACTCCGGGAATCTGACCGCGACCGCGATGCCAGAAGGCGGCCCAGACGCAATTCAGATTCGTCTGTTATGGATGCTCATGATGCCGAGAAAGAGCGGGAAAGAAACGAACGGCGCCGTCGAGAGCAACGTCTGAAAGCCGAAAATGGTTCAGGGTCTGGCTCCCGATCTAAGGGTAAAGATGACGGTGTACGAAGGGACAGAAAGAAGGGCTCGCCTCTAGATGTTATTGACAAACTTGACGTAACCGGAATCTATGGCTCTGGATGTGAGTTAGGTCCTTTCTCTTCTATCTTAGGTATTCTAACAAATCTTAGTGTTTCATCACGATGGTCCATTTGATGCATGCAATCCCCATCGTAATAAGAAAACCCATAAACTCGCACCTGTGCATGCCTTCCCAGCCGATTCAGCAAACAATGCGCTCTCTGGGTTTGGTCCGGTTAGTCTTAAAGCTGACCATTCTCACCTCTTTGGGAACCGAGACCCAGAAGCTTTCCACGATTTTACGAGTACCGGAAGACGCGACTCGGCCTCGGGAAAGCTCGATGTTCGCCCATCAGGTACTCGAACTGCATCATTTGATCCCAAGGCTTCTGAAACTATTCATGGAGATGAGACTGTTGGCCTAGGAACTTCAACGTTTTTAGATGGGGCACCAGCATCAAAGATAGCAATGGAACGAACCATGTCTGAAACAAATGATGATCGGCCTCGGTCTTCAAATGGTGGTAGTGGAGGGGGCCTCCAGCGGAAGAAGTCGTTGGCACAAAAGATTCGATCCATCAGTCAAAATAGAACTAATATGAGCGACGGACCTGTCAGCTCTGGGCACCGCCGCCCTCCCCCCCCAGGAAGATCACCAACGGAATCAAAGTACTCACCCACTACCCCTGTCAGTGCAACAGCAGGCAAAAATGACCGCAATCCTTTTTTCACGGAATATGAAACCGCATACGACAAGAAGGGCGAGGCTATCGCGGAGAGTAAAGGCGAGAGAGCACCAAACTCACCAAAGAAACCGGCCAGGGTAGGCACTGGGGACAAAGGCAGCGAGAATGGACTCTTAAAGCGAGTTAGGAGTTTGTCGAAGTCCAAGAGGCGCAACGATTAGTATGGGTCCATGTGGGTTTTATGAATTAGGTCGTGGGTTATCAAGAGTTGCATGCGTGTTTGTGTCGTGGGAGAAAGTAAACTACGACATCTGTTAGTTTCTTTTAATTTCCTTTTTAAAGTTCTATCCCCTTCGCTTTTACTTTGGTATTGTGTAGGATTGCATAGTGCTTTGGGAGTAGGGCATGGGACAACAAAACCCATTCCCCTGATTTATTGTTTGGTGAAGTTGATATGAGCACATATTCCGCTGGCCGTGGGGCCATCATGTTGGTTGATCGGAATGACTTAAAAGTTTAAACCGGGTCACTTTTACGAATTTCGGAGGCTTGTGTTGGTTCCGGGGCAGCCTTGCCCGTTATATTGTCCTTTTCTATCTGTTTTCATTCCCAGCTATTGAGATACTGGGAATCGGGTTGTTGTTTGGTTTGTTCAGCCCTTTGCATTGATTTTCCAAGGCCGTCTTGAAGTGTTATCAAGGCGGATGGTAGGAGCAGGTTTTGGATTCTACATAAGCCTGGGTGTCATTGATTGTTACCTTATTACATGCTTGTTTAACCCTATTTCCCCAATACCCTGCTTCTTGTTCATTTTTTTCTTTTTCTATATTTCTATTTTCTCTTTACGTGTCATACATAATGGGTGTTTGAACATTAATTCCCTTCACACAATTGTTGCACCCGGAGTCTCCTCACTACATACTAAGTACATGTAGTATATTATAGCTTTCTGTATATGTATTTGATATTTAAGTGTTCACAACAGTGTTCTCATCACTGGGGGGGGACGAACAGCCGCATACCATTGTTTGCGATGAAGAATTTTCCCCCATAGAGTAGCTATTTTACAGCATGTCTTACAACTACATGTACCTGTAGTGTGCCGATTGGGACAACTTGGGTTCTTTATCATGACACTCTAGTCACCGGATCATTTCTGGAAGGATCGTGTATCGAATTTTGAACGTATCTGCTCTCTGACGTTCAGCTTTGCTGTGTCCATAATGCAAGCGATCTAGATAACGACATATGAATGAGCTCCTCAGGAACCCTAGCCCGTGCTCGCAGCGCACTGACAAATTTGTGTACTCTAAGCTCAATGCACTCTAGGTGCTCTTCTACATACATGTATGTACTACGGGAAACCCTGATCCGGACTTATCTTCCCCACATTTTAAAAATGTGTGGCCATCGCCGCCCAAGAGCTGAGTTGATAAAGCTGCGGGTTGGCCAGGTTAGGGTGCAGGCCCCCGCCAGTGAACTCCGTACTTGCTACAACTTAGACATACATGTAGCAATACCCGCATACCTGAACCGGTCCTGGCCGGGCCGAGGGCCGAGACTGGCTGAGTACGGTCATGATGAACAGGAGAGCTGGAGCACCTACATAATACGCAGATTGAGCCCATAGCAAAGATACCGTACAAAACTCGAGCACCTAGTCCTGAATATCCAACGTAATATCGCTAAATTCCAATGTCTTCGCCTCAGTCCCGTCTGGCAAGTATATCGCGCCACCTATGGTCCTCAACTCCATCACCACAGAAAACCAACCTATCAAACAGTAGAGCAGAGCTTTCGCCTACATACTTCCTACCCCGGGCAGCAGCAATTGAGCCTGACGTACGCGACTTCTTTCTTCTACTTGAAGGTTCTGGACTTCCCCAAATATCAGATAAGTAATGTGAATAATAGGTTGAAGCAATCATTCATGTTACTGCCAATGGAAAGGTGCTCCGCCGGTCATACATGGAATTTGCTGATCGAGCCAGAGGTCTCGGGTATTACCTTAAGACTCATGGTTACAAAAGAGGTATGTATTCAACGTAAAGCTTCATAAGCTATGAAGCTTCTAACTCTGACATAGTTGGAATTCTCTGTCCCAATACACCTGCATTTCTGGAATGTATTTTCGGTATAGCTGCCGCAGGTGCTGTTCAAGTAGGCGTGAATTACCGTCTTAAAAAAGAAGACGTCCAGTATATCTTTAAACACGCCGAAGTTGATATCATCATTGTTGATAGAGAGTTTGTGGGGCTGCTAGAAGGCTTTGATGACAAGGTCCCTAGAGTTGTTGATGATGATACAGACGCAACCGTTGGCGAGCTAAGCGGAGACTTTGACCGTATAATATCGGAGGGGTTGGATTATGACAGGAAGTATAGAGGTGGCTGGGAAGGATTGCATATAGAGGCAGAGAGTGAAGACGACGTGTTTGCGTTAGCATACACAAGCGGGACGACTGCAAAGCCGAAGGGGGTCGAGTATACTCACAGAGGGGCATACCTAGCTGCTCTTGCGAATGTTATCGAGTCCGGTTTGAATTGCACGTCAGTTCTTTCTAAGGATAGGGCGAAGTCAGTGCCATGTACAACACTAGTATTCTTGAGGATTTTGAACTTACTCATTTAATATTAAACAGGTACTTGACAATCCTTCCACTTTTCCACGCCGTGGGCTGGACATTCCCATGGGCAGTTGTCAGTGCCCGAGGAACCCACTACTGCATGAGTAAGTAATGACCTCTGTTTGGTAGGAATCATTAATTAAAGCGGTGAATAGGAAAAATCGACTATGAGGAAATGTGGCGGCTGCTGAAGTTTGAAGGCATCACCCATTTCAATGCAGCGCCAACAGTTAATACCCTGCTCTGCCGTTCCCCTCAAGCAGAGCGGCTACCACGAGCAGTCCGAGTCACGGTGGCTGCGTCTCCCCCATCAGCAAAGCTTTTTGAGGATATGATTTCATTGAATCTTATTCCAGTTCACGTCTATGGTTTGGTATGTAGCTCTGTATAATCGATGGCTCCCCAATTATATCAGAGATTAATTTTTTAAATAGACAGAAACGTAAGTTCATATACGATAGATATGATCAAAGTGTGGTTATGATTAATACCAAGAGATGCTGATACCGATGCTCCAGATATGGTCCTATTACAAAAGGGTATTTTCTTCCAGAGTGGCTTGATCTATCACCGGAAGAAATGTACAAAAAGATGGCTCGGCAGGGTTCGTTACCTCTATCTTTTATATCTAAAAAGAAAGATATGCTTATTGATTACCAGGTCACGGATTTGTAACCAGTAAAATGGTCCGTGTTATCAAGCCTGATATAACAGAGGTGATAGATGTGAAAAAAGATGGGGTTGAAATTGGTGAGATAGTATTCGCGGGTATGTTCCTAGCTAGTCAAAAGACTGGTTCATGTTTACTGAAATTTGAAAGGAAATATATGCGCACGAGGCTACTATAAGGACGCTGAAGCCACGGCCAAGCTATTTGCGGGTGGTGTCTTACACTCTGGCGATCTTGCCGTCTGCCATCCAGATGGTGCAATTCAAATCTTGGACCGAGCAAAGGATATCATTATCTCAGGTAATCGAACCCAAAGGTTTTTATTATAAGTGCCTCTACTAAATCTAATATATCACTAGGCGGAGAAAACATCAGTAGTGTGTCTCTAGAAGGAATGCTTTCTCGTCACCCAGACATCGTAGAGGTTGGGGTCATTGCTGTTCCAGATTCCCATTTTGGAGAACGTCCAAAGGCATTCATTACTACCACAAACCCACAACTTATGGGGGAGGATGTCATTCTTTGGGCAAAGAAAAGCTCAACAATCTCGGGCTTCATGGTCAGATAACGAACACACGCACTCTCATTTCTGATAGCTGACAATAAGAAAACATATAGGTTCCAAGGGAAGTTGAAATATTGACAGAGTTACCAAAGACATCAACGGGAAAAGTAAAGAAGAATGTTTTGAGAGAGTGGGCGAAAGGTAATCGAGAAGCTAGTTGATTACTTCTAGGTCTCGAGACATTACTCCAATATAGAATTAGTACATGTATGCATGGGAAAGGGGGCATTTATCATTCAGACTTTAGTTCGAAAGTTTTGTATGCTTGGTTATACAGAAAAAGGTTGAAATTGAAATCTACCAAACATTCACCTCGACTTTACGTGTAAAGAATAATTGACCTCGTCTGTGTTTTTACACCTAAATTCACGAAGGGTATAACCTCATCGAACCTCCCAGCCCGGAATCTAATAATTTCATTGTGATTTTCACGCGAAAAATATGTAGCAACCTTTTCGGACTGTTGATTGCACAAAACTTCAGCTTCCGCTTCACCTTCAACTTCGGCTTCAACTTGAATGAACAGAGCTCGAATATATCTGGCCCAACATGTGACAATTGAAGCCGACCCGAGCCAACTTTTTTCGAAAGTCTGGGTTAGATTAGAGCCGAATTATTCAGACATTGACCTTTAGAAGCAGAGCTATTCAAAGTCGAGGTTATGTCAAAACGGCGTGGTGGCGCTTCTGGAGGAGAGCCCGGGGAAGGGTTTTTATTTCCAATTCATAGACCTAATAATCAGGGATTTAACCTTTGCATAGGGGACCTGTTAATAGACCAAATCTGATTAAATCCTTGTGGACGTTTAGGATCATGCATGGACGACACCAGCTCCTAAGCCCGTACCGTTGCTCATGCGTTGACAACAAGTACATGTAGTTAATAATTGTTATTAGTAGAGAGGGTGCGAGTGATATTTGATGATTTATTGGGCATCATATTAGTGGACAATACCCTTTTTTTTGTTTTTGTTTAATTCATTAATTGCATGCGACCTTACAGTTATGGCAATGTCTCCTAGACTACCCTGCCAGCTCCCAGCCACGCCCATTAAAGGGAATTCGGCAAGCTAGCAAACATCCACCGCCATCTCAACAAAAGGAAAGAAAATCAACTTCAAACAAGTACAATTTGTGCAGTTTCTCTCTTCCCCCCCCGTCTTTTCCCCAGCACGAATTTTCCTGAATAACTCTGAAGTGCCTCCTTATCCTCCGGCCTTACTAGTATGTCTTCTTTCCAGATCCGGATTGTGCTTTCTTTACCCTGCACTACTAGTAGTACCCCCTCTATTCTGTAGCTATTGTTGTCATTCTCACTTCCAATCAAGGTCGCTGTTGATCTATTGCCACAGTGCCATGCCCATTGTAATGGAGCCATTTCAACTATCTGGTATATGAGTACACACAGGGCCCAGTTACATGCCGAGAGTTATCATTAGCAAAAAACGTGTTTCGCCAGGATGAATCCGCGTGCCCAGATGTCCAAATTCGTTTTTGCCTGCAGAACCTCAGGCTCGTCTTTTAGTCAAATGACCCCGTCTTATGCCCCATCCATTTTTGCCCCTTGTCCTTTGACTACAAAACATGGTCGTTTGACAGCTCCAATTAACAAACGTGTCGCTTGACGCAGACAGGTCATCTTTGAATTACACCATCCTATGCTCGTCTTATTGCCAAATGTCCTCATCTTCACGACCTTTCAAAATTGAATCTTTTGTCAGAAATCTAAGTCCATTCTGTCTAAATACAAATTGCCACTGGCACCCATGAGCCCGTCAGAAATCTTAGTCTCAGGCTAACAATCATTCTCTCTAAATACACACTGCTAATGACCCCCATCAGGGATCTCCACTGCTTGCAATGGCTAAAGACCCGAGTCCCTCGCCGATTTTGTCGTTATGCCTTATTTTCTAAATTGAATATAAATTGTCGCTTGCCTACTACCTGTATAAAATCTATACGTGACTGGCTCCAGTCAAGTGTCTAACCTTATTTCATTAAATCAAATTGTATATCGATAGATCGATAGTACTATTGATAAACCACCTGTCGTTTGTAGCTGACATCATGATCGTCTCGGGTACCAAATGAACGGCGCCAAAAATGCTTTTTATATTTACTAACAATATATCATTAGGTGAGTTAGAGCAACGTGACACCTTTATCGGCCCATGGTCGATGTTGGGGTTTCCATTGAAGTCGGGCTTCAATACATCAGCAAGCTAGCATCCGCTTCTGGGTGATTGTCCCTTTCTCCAGAGATTGATGCCAAGACAACTACTCTCCCTATCCCTCCTATGCCTCCTCACCACTTCGCCTAATCCGTTGAGCCTCTGGAGTATCCTGCCAGTGATACTCTCTGGAGAACTATCCGCCTCAATTTCTTCTCTTGAGTCTCTCCCGCTTCCTCCTTTACCAGGCTTCTCAAGCCTTCTAAAAGGCTTCCTAGACATTTCAGCGGGCTTCTAGCGCTTCTCACAACCCTCTCCAGCCACTCGACACCCTTAGATCATGCCCCAACTGTTACGGGGACAGTCTTTCCACGTATCGCTAGAATCTGATAGAAAGATGTGGCTGTGCAAGATAGAAATCAGGTTTAGATTATTTAAAGATTTATCGCTAGAACTCAATAATCTTTAAGGGCTCTGCTACCGAGTAAAATACTTAACTTTCTGAAGACTGAGGATACGGATATTAGGGCGGAAAGGGTCCTGAGTACTTATACTCCAAAGGACTGCGTTCTCTGCTCCTACTTCCTTACTAAATTCCGGCGCTGGCTTCTAACGGAAAGGAGCAACCACCGCTATCCAGCTTCTCTATAAGCGTTAGCGGGTGCTTCCAGTTCTGAAGGCAACCACCCTTAGTCAAAACTTTTGTAACACCTGCAGTCTTGGTTGTCGCACAACCGGGACCTGCATGAATGAGCTGCCGACTAGGCGTAAGCTTAATCATTGCCGTACGGCTCTTCGCTTATTGTGGACTTCCCCAGCATAGTCCCTGCCAATAAAGTCGGACTTGTAATGCTCAGAGGATATAGAGGATCGACAAGCACTCAGAGGTTCACTCTGGTTGGTCTTCTAATCATTGGTGAGGCATAGACTCGTCAGTCATTACTCCCATGAATAGATCCTCTTCCTATCGCTCAGAATGTAGTTCCTCTGACAGCTGGTAGCTAACCACACTGCCGGCATTTGCATGTCACTGTGCAACTGGCTTCTATCAATAACTCTCAGCATGTAACCGGGCCCTGTATGTACTCATACACCAGACAGTTGAAATGGCTCTGTTACACAAGAAACGTTTTGGGAGGCTCGCAGTGCCTGTTGGTATAACGGAGCCATTTCAACTGTCTGGTGTATGAGTACACACAGGGCACGGTTACATGCTGAGAGTTATTGATAGAAGCCAGTTGCACTGTAACGGGGGTGCTAGGATGGGGCACGACCGTGACTTCGATCAAAATAGAAATGGTAAACGGGGAACGATGAGTTGTGATTGGGCTCGTTCGATCGAAGAATGGAGTTTATTTGTTTGATAGTATTTGAAGCCTAGAAACTTAATAACTTTAAGGGGTCTCCTCGCTAGTAAACATTCCATGACTCCCCGAGTTCAAACTGGGGCAACCGAGTTCTTTTTATCGAAGTTCATCAGCAACCCGTGCATGTCTTCAGGAGACACCGGAGGCTTGGGAGACACCCCACCAACTTTAATTCTCTGGAGGCGGTTGGCCCGTTCGGAGGCCTCCCGGGCCTTCGTTAATGCTCAGGAGGCTCTCGCGACGCTCAAGCATGCCCCCTCGGCACTCTCCGGAGCCTGCATTCATCATATCCGGTTACTCTCTCGACGCCTCGCAACGCCGCTACGATGGCCTCCTGAGCCTTTCAAACACTCCGGGAGGCTCGATATCACTGCACTGAATCTCTAGAGATCCTCTGGGGCGCGATTCTTGCCTACAACTCCCCGAACGGGTTTCTTCATCCAGTGTAGTATCGCGAAACCTCAAGGGGTTGTCCCAGCCTACTAGAAAGCCTTTTGGAAGGCTTACCGAGCCTCCCACTTATTACTACTGGATTACTGGAGCGAGTCACCTCTCACGCTCTCTCCCGAGGGCTGACCGGGCCATCTAGTGGTCTCCTAAGGCTATTCCTCGCCCTAGCACTATCTCCCATGCTCTCCAGAGGGCCTACTAATCCCTCCTGCATTATCATGAGCTAGTTAAATTCGTGCCCCACCCTCCCACGCTCTCCAGAGGGCCTACCAAGCCCTCCTATGGTCTCCCGACCCTATTCTTGGCACAAATACCCCTCCCCCACTCTCTCCTGAGGGCCCACCAAGCCCTCCTGTACTCTCCCGACGCCATTTTGGCACTGACACCCCTTCCCACGATCTCCAGAGGGCCCACCAAGCCCTCCTGTAGTCTCCCGACGCCATTCTTGGCACTGGCACCCCTTCCCACGCTCTCCAGAGGGCCTACCAAGCCCTCCTGTAGTCTCTCGACGCCATTCTTGGCAACAACACCCCTCCCACACTCTCTCCTGAGGGCCCACTAAGCCCTCCTGTAGTCCCTCGACGCCATTTTTGGCGCTGGCACTATCTCTTACGGCCTCCTGAGGGCCCACCAAGCCCTCCTGTAGTCTTCCGACGCTATTCTTGGCACTGGCACCCCTTCCCACGCTCTCCAGAGGGCCCACCAAGCCCTCCTATAGTCTCTCGACACCATTCTTGGCACTGGTACCCCTCCCCACGCTCTCCAGAGGGCCTACCAAGCCCTCCTATGGTCTCCCGACCCTATTCTTGGCACTGGCACTATCTCTTACGGTCTCCTGGGCCTCGTCAAATTATCACACTTCTCCCCATGCCCTCCTGAAGGCTCATTGAGCCCCCGAAGAGTCTCCTGAGAGTGATCACTACTCTTGAAGGCGTTACCCCATTGATTCGGTCTCTGAGAGTCTCTCACGCTTCATAACCCCCGAATCTGATTTACTCCATAATAATAGCTTACAATTTCCCACATCTGTACCTAATAACGAAAGCATCCCTTCAAATAAATAAAAACATCGCACAAAAACACATGAAAATCATTTATCCCCTGGCAACGCGTCGCCAGAGGCATTTGTAGAGGCTTCTTGAGCCTTGGCTGCGCCCAAATCCCTCCCCGTCGCCACCGGGTTTTCTGAAGCATCATCAGTCCCCAATAATATAGCCCGGTCCCGCTGAGCCTTCCGGCACGCTTTCGCGGCCCTTCACGCCGCGATGTCTGCTGCCAACTGCACATCGTCCTCTTCCCTTCCAACCTTGGATATCACCTCTCGAGGGCCTCGCAACTCCTCAATCTACAGGCCTATCAGTCCCAGTCAATTGCGTGCGCGTCTAAGGTTCTTTACCTTATCTTGAATAGACTCTCTTATTACCTCCAGAGTCCCCAGCTGGTTTTCCTCCGTTCTTCTTCTCCACGTGTTGAACATTCTGGCGTACGTTACTAGGCAAAAGTTAGTACGTCGGGACTCCTAAAGGGCTTGATAAGCCTTACACAGGATATCGGTATTCTGGCTGGGGTTAAAGCGCATTCCTTCCACATAATTGCCCGTTGTCCAACATCGCAAAACAAACCAAATAGCAGTGCAAACTAGACAGATGAATTCCGGGGATATATCATCTACGAACTTAGGATCCTTCGCTCCACGCATCTTGTCACCTTTGTAATATTTTAGAAATATTACTTTTACGATCTCTGGGGCCCAAAAGTGTCGACGACCTGTCTAATAGCTGTTAGACCTTTACATAGGCTGGTTGAGCCTTTGAAATGGCCTATAAAGCCCCATAGCACGTTGAAAGGAGCTCTTACGGCATAGTTGTCGGGGTCACTAATGAAACGATCATTCTCGAGTAGATAGTTAACTTTGTCAGCCCTCGTCTCTGGGGTTGTTAGGTCCTTCAAGCCGTATAAGAGGCCTTTTGCGACAAAGTCTTTGATTGCAAACACAAGGTGCGATCTCACTCGTGAACTTGCGATTTGAACCTGTGAATAGTTAGCACAGGGCTAACAAGCCTACTAGGAGGCTTGATCAGCTCTTACCTCACTCTTCGCGCTGTTAATTAGGGTTATGTTTGTATTAAAATGAACGTTAGCCTCCGACCAAAATCGCCGGACGTTAACGGTAAGAGATTCAGGCATTGGCCAAGGCTCCTCAAGCAATGTATGCCGCGAGAGAAGCTCCTTAGCATACCTGATAATCGGCTTTGCCTCCGCTGGCACGTCCCCCTGTCAGAGCCGTAAACTGACTCTGGCGCTGGTGTGGCACATGCTTGCGTGGGTGGGGTTGCACGATAGGGCTGAGAAGGCGGAGGTGTACGTTCAATGTGATGTTCATTTCGCAATGTACTAGACAAGCGAAATGAGGTGCTTGGTGATGTAGACTCGGGCTCGGAAGCTAGGGAAGCCCTGCTCATGGCTCGGGAGGGAGTCCCCGACCTTTTTGAAGTAACCGTCGTACGGCTTCCATACTGCCTGGTGTTATCACCTTATCCGCAACCTACGGGTTGTGGTTAATACCTGTACTGTATTAACTCCCACGGCAGATGAAAGAATTGCTTCGGCTGCTGTGCCACTAATTCTTCTCCTAGAGGCTGCAACAGCCCTGGCGGAGGCTACAGGAGCCTCCCTTGGCCTCTTACCAGCACGAATTCCCTGGCTGGGTACTGGCGGTGCCCGTGGTGGTGGTGCCCGTGTAGGCCGTGCTCGTGTTGGCGGAGGTGGTGGAGACACCCTTCGTTCAGATAAGGGCATCACGGGTGGGGAATTTTCGTCCCCGGGCTCTTCATAGTCGTCATAATCGTCCTCATAGACATCTACCTCGTCCTCCTCCGCCACTGGGTGATCGTCGAAGTCAATCCACGGCTGTGAGCTTTCTAAAACGCCGTTTACCAATATTTGGCCCCCGGGCGAGCTCAATGGGCCATCTCGATAGCCCGAAGGGCCATGAAAGGAATCTTGGTCAGTATCCAGCTCTGTAGGTGATCCCGACCTCACACTGCTAGCGACACTTGAAACACTCATCGCCTCCCTAAGCCGTTTATTAACAGAGGTGGAGATAGTAGTGTTGGTTGCACCATATCGATCGTCAATGGCACGTTTGGTGGTTCTTTGCCTTTGGGAAGTCATGATAATGTTTGTGGGGAAAAGAATGGCCAGGTAGGCACTGGAGAATGCTTCCGAGGCTCACTATTAATACAGTATGCTTAGCAACCTCTAATATTCTTTTTTTTTCTCTTAGTTGGCTAAGCTATATGCAGTCATCCGAATGCTTGGCGAGCAGAAAACTCTGCATTTTCTTGGGCTGAGCTATACCGCTTATATTCACCCGCCTATCGTCTAAAGGCTTAGGAAGCCTTTTGAATCGCCAATGAAGAAAACGCGGGAGGAAAAACAGATCTTATAAGTAATAATAAATGCTACGATGAGGCGACTAACCCTAAAACAAATAAGAAAGTCTAAAGAGGCAGCTGCACCAGAAATAGAAAAAGAAAAAAACTGCCTAACAAGCTTTGAAGAAGGCTTCTCAAGCCTTCTCTAGCCGAACATACGTGTAGCGCTCACCAAATAGATAAGGTAAGCTAATTCCAAAACAGATATAAAAAGCCTAAAAAGGCAACTACACTTACCAGATAGGGCACTTGGCTAATAAAAAAAATAAAAACTGATCAACAAACCAATGATCCCCCAAGAAGGCTCCCCGAGCCTCCAAATAGCTTAACATGCCGCCCCTAGCTAGCATTATCAGTTACCGTCATCGTCATCCTCATCGTCGTCGCCTTCTCCTTCGACATCGTTTTCGTCTCCAACTATGCCGCCGCTATGCCTAAATAGATGGTTTCTCTCAGCCAATGTCCAAATCTTGAGGCGGTCATAGTGGCAAGACATAAAGCCAATGCCATTCGGAAACTTCAATCTATACCGCCTAACTAGCCTACGCCCTATTGTTTGGTATCTTTCCACCCGTTCATCAAATACCGCCATTAACTCCTGGAAACCGGTATCGCTTTGGGGCATAGCAAAATTCAGACCAGTGTTATTTACCTTATCAATAAAGGTAAGCATTTGCTCCTCCTTATCGACTTCTATCATTTGGAAATCGTGTTCATCCAGGTCCTCCCACCCATCAGGCGGAGGAGTTTCGGGTCTATGTCTAGGCCCGGCAAGCAGTGCACGAGGCCTATGGAGCACGGCACAAAGCCTCAAAGGTTTGGCTTCACTGGTCTTGCGCCAGGCCTCCAACTCCTCCGCGTCACCAATACGAACATTTTCCGGATTAAGTGCATACGCTGCCCCAGCCGTCCTAGGGGGTCCGTTTGACATGGCTCCGTAGAAGGCCCGGATGACCCTCGGGGGCAGACCGTCGGCAACCTTTGGGACACGCTTCATTGCGACCTTGGCCAACTCTGCTAAGGACACCTCCTCGAGGACGCCTATAGACACCGGTAGTGCTGCTGGACCGTACCAGTCAATCTCACGGTAAGCCGCCCTGACGACGGCTCCCATCTTCGTTGGGTCAATAACATGTATGGTTATTGCAGGCCTGTAGGGTATTCCCATGGCCTTCCAAACCTCTGCCGCAGCCAAGGTGGGATTCTCGTTGGACTCGCCTCCCCCCTCATTGATCCCGGCTAAAGCCCTGGCTCCACGGGTGTGGGCTCTGTTCACTTTGTGGGATCGGTCGCCAATGAGATAACCGAGGGCTGCTTTGATCTTCTCGGAGGCCCCCGAGCCCTCCCTCATGTAACTTTGCTTTAAGGCTTTGAGACCTTTGTGATTTATAAGCCAATCCCTCAATTGCTCGAATAAATCAAGTCCAGAGGTTGTCTTGTTGACCCAGCCAATTCTTGTCATCTGGTCACTGAGCGCAGTACGGAGAGCCCTGTAGACATCATCTCTTCCGGTAAGTTGCAGAATCTCCCTCATCTGTTCAATACTGGTAATTTTATAGGCAGCTGAGGCTCTTCCCCTGCGTGGTGGCATGCTTGGTGAATCGGCTGAAGCCTTTTGAGCCTTTTCAGGGGTCGCAGGAGCCTTTGAACGAGCCTTTGCTGATTGGGGGGCGTCGGGTTCGTCGAGGATAGTTGTGTCGCTTTCGGTGTCACTTTCTTCCGGATTACCAGTATATTCAAAGGGGGGTCGACTCGGAGTTGGGGGTTTGGAGATTTTGCTTTGTTGCTCTTCTTGCAAGGCGGAGCGGCCTACCTCGAGGCTGGATGCGTGTGGTCGAGAGCCTGTTAGGCCTTCGGGTCCAGGAGAGGCTCTACCAGAGGCTTCTGGGAGAGATTCTGTATCGGCTCTACTAGTTCTGCTTGCAATTTCTGGTACAACTGTTTTTGTTGCAGCGAGGGTGGCGTGGTGGTCCTTGATTTGCTGTATGTGTGCTTCGTACGCTGCTAGGAGAGCGACCGAGTCAAAGTCTTCGAAATCGTTGTCTTCAGAGGCCTGGGAGTCCTCTTCAACTGGAGGTGGTTCTTCGCCTTCCTTGAGATAGTCAAATGCCAGTACCAAGCGGTCCGCGTATGCCTGTGTGCTTTGAGAGGCTTGGGGAGATTCCGGAAAGGCCTGGTCTTCGACTGCAGGTGCTTCTTCTGCAGGTGCTTCTTCGGCCGGAATGGATGCTTCGACTGGAGGGTTGACGAAGGCCAGAGGGGGTGCTATTGGGGTTGGGGTGGATTCGCTAATGCGCGGACGTTTGCGTTCTCGTGAGTCTTCGTCGGAGGAATACCAAGCTCCAGGGCAATGGGGGAATTCTCCCAAAGGTCGAGTCTGTGTATAGATATGTGAATGATATGTATTTAGAATTAGAAAGGTCAACGTACCATTTTATATATCCGTGGGTTATATTCAAGTGAACGTTAGTTGAAATCCTGACCCTAGCTTAACTTGGGGGCTTGGGGGAGTATCAAGAGTGCGAATGGCCTACTAGAAAGCTCCGCGAGCGTGTAGGGGGGTGTCTATATATATTCTCCTAGATGAGGATCCTATACTAGGTCATATATCGAGTTGGTATTGTTTGTTGAAGTTGGGTCATGCTATATCACTCGGGTTGGTGGTTCGGACCTTTTCAAAGGCCTAACAAACACATTTATGAGCTCAATAAGCCTAACCACCATGCACTAGGTCAGTTTTTGGTTTAGCGTGTGGAGAGCTATTTGCCAAGACTAGGTTGACAAATCATTTGTGCCAAGTCATTTCTTTTGGATGGCTTACAGAGCCTTTTAGATGGCTTTAGGAGCCTTTTAGATGGCTTGAGGAGCACTCCCGGACACCTCTGCATTAACGGGGTCAGTTTTGGTTTAGTGTGTGGAGAGCTATTTGCCAATACTAAGATGACAAATCATTTGTGCCAAGTCATTGGAGCTTTTTGGATGGTCTTAGGAGCCCACCCGACACCTCCGCGTTAGCGGTAACATCAAATATCAATCAACAATGAGATCACGATGCCCTTTCTGCATAAGGAGCTACGCAAGTCCTGGTAGTTTCGATCGACATCTTTCAAGAGTCCACGCAGAGAAGGCAGTTGAATAGTACAACAGTCAGCTTACACGCCGTGCTGAGGATTCAGTGAACCTTGTAGAAGACCCGGGAGGACTATACGGAAACGAATTGTTGAATGTTGGGACCTTTTCCTTGGGTCCCACGAGCGTAGACCAAAGCGAGTCTGATAATGAATCAAACGATGACACAGACTCGTTGACAGAACGAGACAGCATGTTCAGACCAGCAACTACCGTGTATGAGGGTGCAGGGGAGCAACTTTTCCCCTCCACAGGATATTCTGAGAGCTCAGAGAGCCTTCTGTCCAACCCGTGGCAACCTTTCAAATCAGCAAAGGAGTTTGAATTATCACGTTGGTTCCTGCGATCCCACATATCGCAGGGTCAAATAGACGATTTTTTTCGAGCGGCAGGCGCAGGGAAAGGCTCCTACCACAATGGAAAAGGCTTTACACGCCATCTTGATGAGATGGTTTCTAGGGACGGTTTAGGAAGAGAAAGTTGGATGCACTCAGAGGTCGAGTTGGGGGGCGAGAAGATTGCATACTATTACCGGGACCCTATGAGTGTGGTGCGATTCCTTCTCGGGCAACGTGCATTCAGAGAATCTTTGGTGTATGCCCCAACGATGGAGTACAATGAGCTAGGCGAGCGAATGTACGGTGAAATGCATACGGCAGACTGGTGGTGGGAGATGCAGGTTTGTAAAGCCCTCGTGAGTGCTTACTGAGCCTTTTCTAACGGAGGTTAAGAATACTCTGCCAGAGGGATCAACAGTGGTACCAGTGATTTGCGCATCAGATGGAACGCACCTAACGAATTTCAGTGGTGACAAGAAGGCCTGGCCTGTTTACTTAACGATTGGAAATATCACTTCAGAAATACGCAATAAACCCTCCAGTTTTGCATTCATACTTCTGGCTCTTTTACCGGTTCCACGGAAATTGGGAGTACGTGCAAATGAACATCGTCGAGAGAACCAGATGGCCCTTCACAAAGTTTTGGGAGAGATTTTGGAAGGCCTTCGGGGCCCTGCACAAAACGGTGAGCTTATAGCGTGCGCTGATGGCTACGATCGCCTGTGTTTCCCTATACTATGTGCCTGGGTTGCCGATCAGCCAGAACACGCCTCGCTACAAAATATCAACAATCATGCCTGCCCACGATGTGAGGTTGATTTCAAAGGCTTGGGAAGCCTTCACGAAAGCCCGCCACGGATTCAGGAGCGATATGTTGAGATTGTAAAGGAATATGAGGATAATAGGTCTAACGCAGCACCCGTGGAATACCTTGTATCAAAGTCTTTAAAGACCCTCTACAATGCCTTTTGGGCCTTGCGGAGGACCAGCGCCTATGATCTCCACAAGCCCGACATACTACACAATATCTACCTGGGACTATTGAAACACATGATGGAGTGGGTTCAGGGGTTTCTTAAGAAACACAATCGAATAGAGGAGTTTGATCGAGCTTGGTCCTCCATCGGGCCTTATCCAGGGCTCGCTGTGCCCAACAAAGCGTATCGAGCAACTACACAGTGGCAGGGTAAAGAAATGCGACATCTTGGCCGGATAGTTTTGGGAGCCTTTGCGGTGGCTTTACAAGCCCCTCCAATGGCGGCACGGAAAGACTTTAGTAGAGCTTTGCGGTGTGTACGAGCGTTGATTGACTTCCACCTCATGGCACAGTATACAACTCATACAAAGGAGACTCTAGAGTATCTGCAAAGCTATCTCGAAAACTTCCACAAGTATAAAGATGTATTTCTCGAATTCCGGGCCTATAAACGAACGAGGAAGGACGCCAAGGATCAAACAAAAGCACTGCAAGGCTCCGGAAGCCTTGGGAGAGGCCTAGAAGAGGTTCAAGAGATTCGGGAGGGGTCCCATTTTAATTTCATTAAGATGCATCTACTATCACACTTTAGAGAGCATGTGGAGCGATTCGGAAATATACCCATGTTTTCAACGGATGTCAGTGAGTTGGCTCATCGGCGGCAAATTAAGATGGCCTACACTGCTTCGAATAAGGTAGATGCCACGGTCCAGATTCTTGATTACCACCCAAGGCGTATGGTGATGGAGATGAGAGTGTTGAATTTGAAAGATATTGTTTTCTCCCTGCCCGAGCATTATGAGGGCCTGCCGAGCCATCGAGAAAGCTTGAGAGACCTATTGGAGATTTTCAAAAATGAAGACCAACAAAGAGGAGGCAGTGAGCGATTGCTGGACGGAGATGCACCACAGAAACCTAAGATGACGACGCCGGACAATTCGGCGACCAGGTTATCTGATATCGCAGACATTATCAAGATGAACAGGACTACACTTGCCAGAGCTGTATCGGAATATGATCAGGGACTACAACGGGAAGAAGGAGGCTTATTGAGCCTTCTTGACTACCCAGTGAGGTATTTCAAATGCCTGCAGGTGCCAGTATCAGTGTTCCAAAAGAGTGATAGCTACGAGATACATAACATACGATGCACTGGAGAGGCTTTGTTCAGGAAAAGGGCAGTTCGGAATGATTGGGCTTGGATTAAGGTAGCTACTACGGACCCCTAGGGAGCATTTCAGGGACGTTTACCAGGGCACCTAAAGGCAATATTCAGACTACGTGATATCTTTACTAGAAAGACATATCAACTTTGCTTGGTTGAGCTGCTGGAGGCAAGGGACAGGGGCCTTCCTGGAGGCTCGCATGGACTTCTAAGAGTCGCGAGGCGCTCCCGGCAAAGATTTTGGATAATTAATACTCGTAGCGTCTTGGGGATGGCACATTTGTTCGAATTGGGGCAGGGACAATGGCTGGTAAACACTAGAGTAGATTTAAGAACTTGGAACGAATTCCATATATAAGGTTAACGAGGGCTTAAGGAGCCTAGGCAAATGCTTCTGAAGACTGGTCCTCTTAAACGATATGTATATACATGGGCAATATAGGATTCAACAGATAAGAAATCCAAGGGCTGGTAAAGGCTCAAGTAAAAGTGTTAGGTGTTAGGTTTTGTAACTAGCCGGGCGGCTTGAGAGATCAGGAGTGGCGCGAGGGGCTTTTTGGAAGGCTCGAGGGGCCTGTTGGGTAGATTTTGGGTGGTTTAAGGGGGGGCGTGAGGCGCCTAGAGAGTGGCTAAGTGGGGCTTGAAGAGCGTTTGGGGGGCTCGAGAAGCCTATAGATTTATAAGACGAGTCGGGGCCTTGAGAGAGGTTGAGGGGGCTCAAGAGGCTTTTTGGGAGGCTCGCGGAGCCTGTTGGAGAGTGGTCTAAGGGTGTCGAGTGGCTGGGGAGGGTTGTGAGAAGCTCGAGAGGCCCGCTGAAATGTCTAGGAAGCCTTTTAGAAGGCTCGAGAAGCCTGGTTAAAGAGGAAGCGGGAGAGACTCAAGAGAAGAAATTGAGGCGGAGAGTTCTCCAGAGAGTGCCAGGTTACTCCGGAGGCTCAACGGATTAGGCGAGGTGGTGAGGAGACATGGGAGGGGTAGGGAGACTAGTTGTCTTGGCATCAACCTCTGGAGAAAGGGACAATCCCCCGGAGGCGGATGCTAGCTTGCTGATGTTCCGCGCCCTTGTTCCGGCTTTTTTTTCCTAGGCCGTCCGTCCCTCCCTAGTCAGGGACACCACGACTATTTTCTATGAGGGGGAGAGAAGAGTTGCTACCACACCGCGGACGAACTTTCGTCCGAGTCAAATCACGCAATCTCCAACAAGAACGGGTCGGGATCCTAGGAACTAGCGGAAACAGCTGACCAGACAACAATTGCTTATTCAGAGTATTTAGAATAGATTTGGGTATTTGTAAAGTGAAGGTTTGCTTTGGTAGCTTGGGTCGTACTCTTACTCCCCCCCAAATGTGCACCGGGCTGAAATAGGAGGGTTCCGGTGGTACGACGCTCCGGGGGTTATTTTTGGGGGTCTAAAACGTGTTTATTTTGCAGTGTTTCCTCAACTCCGCAATGCGTTCATTCAACCACCCCAAATGGACCGGAGCATCGTCAGGATCCTTTCTGACGTGGTAAAGCATATTTTCCGAGCATCGGTTGCTAAGTTATTGCACCTCAAAGGTTGACTTCCAAGGTAGGGTAACTTATGTTTGGGGTTACCCTTCCGTATTTGGCATGCTCGTCCTTCTGCTCTAGTTTTGGTCCAGTCGCCTAGCTTGACTTATAAGACTTCTTGCTCGCCAGGATCCCTACCCTTCATACCAATAGAGGTAGGGGTCATCTGCCCCTTATCTTCACCCATCGATGAAGAACAAGCTGTGATTACCCTAGGGTCGTATGGCTTGACTGGTAGAACAGGTACTTTTGTAACAGCCCTACTGTGGCTCTG